TGTTTTCAAACGGCCACGTTTATCGCGATTACTCACGCTGTAACAAAGAGTGTAGCATCACACAGAAATTGTACATACTCCAATGATGGCTTGTTTTTAAGAGAAAGTTGCGATAAAAGTGAATGAGATGTTTTACAGTTGTTCATGTAATTAAACAGAAAACTATGAATGTTTCTTACGCGTCTGAAAACCCATAACACAGGTATACATGGTGTCTGGATTGCCCAGAATTATAGTTTGTGATTCAAAATGTTTACGGATATTACAGGTATCAACACGTTCACCATAATTTTACAATGATATAATAAATATTTATATAATTATATTTATACCCAAGATGCTGGAGATCACATGATGCTGGGGTTCACCTAAACAATGAAATGAGCACTGATGCAACAGATCAAAATGGCTTTTCAATTGTATTTGTTATTACTTCCAGTCGGGCGGTCGGGGAGCCTAGTGGTTAAAGCGTTGGCTCGTCACGCCGAAGACCCGGGTTTCGATTCCCGACATGGGTACAATGTGTGAAGCCCATTTCTGGTGTCCCCCCGCCGTGATATTGCTGGAATATTGCTAAAAGCGGCGTAAAACCATACTCACTCACTCACTCACTATTACTTTCAGTCACAAGACATTTGTTTCAATCTAGTCTCATGCTGTGTCCATGAGATCGGATCAATCCGATAATAGTTTTAGCCTTCAGCTGAAAGTCTCCCAAGATTACTGTAACATTATTTCCTTGAACAAACTGAAGCAAGTGCTGGTATATAAAAACATTGTTGTGATGATTAATATATTAGAAACACACCAGTGTAGAGTCAATAAAGTGTCATATTTAATTAATTTTCTGTTGGGAATGGATTTGTGCTCAGTTCGCCTTCTCCAGATAGCGGCAAATATACTGTTGAAGTACGATATACAGCAGCAATCAATCAAATATTCATCAGCTCGTATCTGTAGCATATATGGATGTATTGAGGTGGAACATTGCCATTAATGATTGAGGTGTAACTGTACACCCCGGCCTCAGCCCTGCGCTACCAGGTGCTGGATTATTCCTAGGGTGACCCAGGAGTAGCTCGTGCCGCCATCAGTCAGGTGTTCAGCCAGGAATAGATGTCAGTGGGAATACTGCCACAGGACAGGTAATATTGATGGCATCTAGGAATACCTGTCTTGCAGAGATTTGAATGTTAGAATTAATGAGTCTGATTTAGTGATATATGAAATTATACAACAATGAATTAAATATTTTTACTGTAAAGCTATTACTGTTTGTACACTTGGCCTGTGATAATTTTAGTCTTGAGCATCATATTTATTGATGTTTGCTTGCCATCTTGTCGGATTGTTTTTAATTTTTAGAGTACAAAAAGAAATATTCCGTCACTATGTAAATCTCCATGAAGATTAACCAATGCTTGTGAGTTTTTGAGGACCCTCGATCCTCTCTTAAGTGTTGAGAGGCATGGGTGGGTCAGTTGTCTGAGGTGCCGTAATTCTCTGTGCAGAGTTGCATACCTTTGGCATGCCAGAAACCTATGATTGTTTGAATCCTGGTTCTACCCGATAATGTTTCTGGGTTTGTCAGCACCAAACGGTTTCACCAAAGTGGTAAACGTCTTGACCTGCATCCCTGCGGGCCTTCCTCAAGCTGACACACCGTGATATAACTGGAAAACTGGAAAAAAATTCCCAATCAGACATTTTCAGGCATCTCTTGAGACCAACAGTGTGTACCTGGGTAGGGTCAGGTAATAGGGGTGTGTGTACCCGGGTAGGGTCAGGTAATAAGGGGGTGGGTACCTGGGTAGGGTCAGGTAATAAGGGTGTGTGTACTGGGTAGGGTCAGGTAATAGGGGGTGTGTACCTGGGTAGGGTCAGGTAATAAGGGGTGTACCTGGGTAGGGTCATGTAATAGGGGTGTGTGTACCCGGGTAGGGTCAGGTAATATTGGTGTGTGTGCCCGGGTAGGGTCAGGTAATAGGGGTGTGTGTACTGGGTAGGGTCAGGTAATACGGGGTGGGTACCCGGGTAGGGTCAGGTAATACGAGGTGTGTACCCGGGTAGGGTCAGGTAATACGGGGTGGGTACCCGGGTAGGGTCAGGTAATAGGGGTGTGTGTACCTGGGTAGGGTCAGGTAATAGGGGTGTGTGTACCCGGGTAGGGTCAGGTAATAAGGTTGTGTGTACTGGGTAGGGTCAGGTAATAGGGGATGTGTACCCGGGTAGGGTCAGGTAATAGGGGTGTGTGTACCCGGGTAGGATCAGGTAATAAGGGTGTGTGTACAGGGTAGGGTCAGGTAATAAGGGGGTGGGTACCTGGGTAGGGTCAGGTAATAGGGGGGTGGGTACCTGGGTAGGGTCAGGTAATAGGGGTGTGTGTACTGAGTAGGGTCAGGTAATAGGGGTGTGTGTACCTGGGTAGGGTCAGGTAATAGGGGTGTGTGTACCCAGGTAGGGTCAGGTAATAGGGGTGTGTGTACTGAGTAGGGTCAGGTAATATTGGTGTGTGTACCCGGGTAGGGTCAGGTGATAGGGGGGTGGGTACTGGGTAGGGTCAGGTAATAGGGGTGTGTGTACCCGGGTAGGGTCAGGTAATAGGGGGGTGGGTACTGGGTAGGGTCAGGTAATAGGGGTGTGTGTACCTGGGTAGGATCTGGTAATGGGGGGGGGGGGGGGTACCCAGGTAGGGTCGGGGAATAGGGGGGGGGGGGTACCCGGGTAGGTTCAGGTAATAGGGGGGTGGGTACCCGGGTAGTAAATTGGGACTCGTCCCAGCCCTAATATAAAGTGACATGTGATACTTGTGTCTCTCTATGAATCGGGATACTTTTTATGAGAACCATTCTGATCGAATGTCACTGTCTGAATCAGCTCTCAAGACGTTGCTATCACACAGTTTGTGTACAGCTCACCTGACTGATGAATTTACACTTGTTCTAGTGATATTTCCTTTTCTGGCAGGGTAGAAACGATATCCATTTGTCTTCTATTCATGCTTAGCTTCAGGAGTATTTCTCAACAAACTTTCCATATTTCTTTAAGAAACTGTATACATATCAGGCAAGTGCTGACCCTATGCTTTTGCTGTTCTGGAATTTTAGATTTTTTTCTTTTTCATTTCCAACCTAGTCTGCCTTTCTTTCAAATAATGTTAAGGTTTGTTTCTTTAGCATGACAAATCGTGACATGTGGTCCTGTGCACAGTGCACAGGTCACAAATCAGGAGAAGTTAAGCAACGTTGGTCGTGGAGAGTAGTTGGATGGGTGACCGTGTTCGACAGCTTGGCTCCTGAGAGTTTCTAGGGCTTCGGTCCTGCCCCACACTGAGGCACTTGTTACATGTGTTGTCTTTTTAGACAAGTGACTTTGTTCGAAATATGCCTTTGTTCACACAGCTGTGAATGGGTACCCGATAGGATGAGATGGTAATGTGACTGTTAACTTACTAGCACCTCACAGGCAGCTTGGGTTGTATACTCCCAGGGAGCTGAGAATGACAATCAAGTGCACACTGGTCCATAAACCAGGGTAATAATTATGTAGCGCCCTCAGTGTGGTGAATAGAATTTGGCACATTGTGAATGGATTTATTAAACAATTCAAAAGTTCTTTGCATGCTTTTAAAGCTATGTATGTATATCAGGCTAGTGCTGTACTGTTTTTTTGTACTAATGAGGGATTTTTTAAAGTATCATACACTGTGTACTGTTTGTGTTTCCAAGGCAACAAGACAGACTTCGGTTCAAATAAAGTTAAGGTTTGTAGTTGGTGCAAAACTCATATATCTATCATACTGCCGTTGGGAAACTTGGCATATTTTTCAGGTATATTTAGACTTTCTTCCTGTCCAGAGAATACCAAGGGCTTTATCCAGGCTCACAGGACGATATTCATTCCCAAGTCTGAAACAGATTTCAGTAGAAATTCCGAAATGGGAAAGAAAAAATTGCGAAGTTACGTTATTATATAATAATAAATGTTATTGCTTTGCACAGGTGACTTCACTGTTACACTAATAACAGGAAGACCCTTCATCTTTAGTTTTATAATCCTGCATTGAACGAGATATTGAAATCCCCCTAAATTTAAGAAAATAAGGACTTTTAAGGAAATCCCACATTTGATCAAAATTTTGAGGGGTTTTCTGATTTGTCTGCCAAGACCATTCCTAGCTAAATCCTTTATAACTCATAAACCATTTAATATTTCTTCATGAAACTTTGTATGCGGACCATGCATCAATTTAGGAATTTTAAAATATTTCAGCAGCCCATCAAACATAGAGTTTCTGACTACTGCACAAGTGTTATTGACCTTAGAGTTTGTTCTTCCATGGTGAGGTGAGGTGAGGTGAAATGGGGTTTAACGTCGCGTCCAAGATTATTGCACTTATATAGCCACGTGCATGCACGTGTGTGTGGCTGCTTGTACTAGACCGGACTGATGCCGATTTATAGTGCTAGCTCACTGAGATACCATGCCGCAGTTTAACATGAATACCCCACTCAGACACAGTATACTGACTCCGAGCCTACCAGTCCTTGTTTTAGTTCCTTAATGCCGAGCGCCAGACAGGGTAACAACAAGTACCATCTTTTAACGTCTTTTGGTATGACGCGGCCGGGGATCGAACTCCGGACCTTCCGCTGTCCGGGCGGACGCTCTACCACTAGACCACGGAGGCGGTCTGTTCTTCCATGGACTTCTTTCCAATAATGGCCCTTTTGGCGAATGCCCTCTCATGTGTTATATTCCAGTCATGTGTTATACCCCTGTCATGTGTTATACTCCAGTACTGTGCCTCTGTGTTAGCATCATAGGTCACCTCCATAGAGGGTTATGTCAGGAGAGCTCTAAGTGAACTTTGACCACCCAATCTAAATGAAGGATGAGTGGGTTCTTCAGCCAATCAGATGTCAGCTTTCTATGACAGCTTTTGTAACATATCTTTATCACTTTTCAGTAAAGTAATTTTCAAAATGTTATATTTTCAGCCAGACCTCAGAATGGAGATGGACTTCGACCCCGAGTTTTACGAGGATTATGACGAGGCGGATCTGATGCGGTATTTAGAAGATGAGGAATATGGCCCTGAGCTTGCAGAACTGTTGGCGTCATATAAACAAGAGATGGGATCTGATCCAGAATACAACCGTGTGCCTTTCATGGAGCTGTACGAAAACTGCCTCCACCCAACCATAACACAGGCCGTCCAGAACATGATGACGCTTCTCATCATGTGCTTGTCTTTCAGAATCGTGTGCCTTCTGGGGACCATGGGTAAGTAGTGGAGGGAGTTGACAACATTTCATCCAGAGTTGGGAGGGATCAAGGCTTGCCAAGGTCAAGGGCATGTTGATTTCCATTCTAACAGCTCTTGTTGGTGAAATGAGGTTAAGTTTTGTTGAACAGCTGTTTTCACACTTTGTTAACAATTCAGGGCTGGGGCTAGCATTAAAATATCCCCGAGCCCCGTTCCACAAAGCGATCGTAGCACTACGATTGTCGTAAGTCTATGTTAAAGTGTGGGAGTTATGATCGTCTTAGTGCTAAGATCACTTTGTGGAACGGGGCCCTACAGTGTAAATAAAGATGTATGGTTGACAAAGTGTGATCCTGCATCCATCTATGTCTGTCCATCTGCATGTTAATTTTCTAGGAAGCCATCAAGCGTTACCCAAGGCTATAAGATGCGTCACAGTGGATTTCCTTACATACAAGGGTTCATTGACAAGTGGCATAGGACATTTTGTTTTTAATGCTGTGATCCACTTGTCAAGACTCGGTTGTTTACAGGGTACTGAGATATCTGTAGAACATTGTTGATTGTCTGTGTAATGCAGTTCAGATTACTCCCAGTGATGTAACAAGTCTCCCAAGTACTGGAGCTTTCAGTTCTTTTTGCCATGACACCACTATCATGAGGTTATTCTCAGAACCATTGGGTACAATCATATTTCAGAAGGACATGTTGTGTTGTATCAAACCGAGTTGTAAAATGATATTTTCTGAAGGCACACATCTTCCCGAGGCAAGCATGTCCACTAGCCTATATCAAAGCATAGTGAGTGAGTGAGTTGGGTTTAACACCGCTTTTAACATTATTCCAGTTATATCATGGCGTGTCAGCTTAATGTGGGAGCCTAAAGTGATGCAGGTCTCAGACGTTTACCACTTCAGTGAAATCCACAAGCACGGGTATGGTGCTGACAAATCTAGAAACATAATCAGGGCGAACCGGGATACGAACCCACAATCATAGGTTTCTGGCGTGCCCAAGGGACACAACTCTGCACAGCGAATCACGTCGTCTTAGACGACTGGGCCACCCTTGCCCCCTCAATGCCTAGTTTCTACCCTTGCCACATCAAGGCCACTTTCCTTGGCTCGACCCTGGCGCCGCCTCCCGTAGATCACGAGTTGTGCCCCTTGTAATGAAAACAAGATATCCAATCAGGTCACTGTTCTTATCTCTTAGAGCTTCACAAAGATGGCGACTACAATAGGTGTCGGCCTAGTCGATCAGATAACGAAAACATTCACGATTTAATCCCTGACACAAAAACATAAGCAATTGTTGGGGGGGGGGGGGGGGGGGGGGGGGGGAGAAGAAAAAGACATATCTGTGTCAACAAAGACAGGCAGCGGTAATTCACTTTCATACGAAGGTGTACCAGCCATGAATATTGATTTTGCCAAACGTTCGACGTTCTTTGATTGGACTACCTATGTGCGATAGTCCAATCATATTTATCACAGGAAAGTGGGCTTGACTTTGATAAAAAAGCTCGTGGAAACTTTTGCCTCGGGAAGATGGAAGGTACAAAGCTAAATTGTTTGTTTCATTTAGTGATGATTACAACAAATGTGAACAAATATGATCTGACTAATGTGAACGTTTCTTGTATTTTGTTGTCTACCATATCAGGGCCCCATTCTGTAAAGCCATCTTAGCGCTCAGGTGATCGTAACTCCCATACTTTAACACTGGCTTACGACTGTCGTAGCGCTAAGATTGCTTTGTAGAACAGTGCCCTGGACCATATTATTTGGCTATATATGTCACTAGGTATATTTTTACACATGTTATCACCCTATTGGTGTCCTTATCTTCAGGCTCTGGTGATCTCGGTGCTCCCCCTTGGTTCCTGCATCTGTCCAGTGCCATGTTTGGTATCATCGTCCTGCACAACTTCTTCAACATCTCCCTCTTGTACCTCCTTGTTGGCTGCGCAGTTGCCTACATCACTCTGACAGTCACCAGTGTCTACTGGCGCCATCTCTGTGGCACCACCGTCTCCATAGTGATTGGTGTATATATTATAGTATGGTATGTGGATTAATCTGCATATGACAACAGGATCAATGTATAGATTTCAAGTTTATTATTCTTTCACGGCGATATTTCTGAATAGGTGTTGGTACATTATTCACTTGGTTGATAAAGGTACTAACATTTGTACTGAAATGTCGCACTGAAAGATTGAAAAAGTTGAAACCCACACTTTGATCCTGTTTTCAAATGTCTTTATTGAAGATGCAGCTCCTGAATATCTCTTGCAGATTGGTTTATTCATTGTAGGTGAGGTATATGATAATTTTTATTTCAATAGATAAACATCAGTTGATACTAATTTGATTACTACTAAAAAAGGCAATTATATTTATTCATATGATGATTCTTTTTAAAAATTTAACTTTATATATGGATGCTCATTTAATATATGAGGTCATGATAAAATTTGACATGTATTTAGGGGATGGGGGGCATGATAAAATTTAACATGTATTTGGGGGGTGGGGGACATGATAAAATTTGACATGTATTTCGGGGGGTTGGGGTCATGATAGAATTTGACATGTATTTGGGGGGTGGGGGACATGATAAAATTTGACATGTATTTCGGGGGGTGGGGGGCATGATAAAATTTGACATGTATTTAGGGGGTGGGGGTCATGATAAAATTTGACATGTATTTGGGGGTGGGGGTCATGATAAAATTTGACATGTATTTGGGGGTGGGGGTCATGATAAAATTGACATGTATTTTGGGGGTGGGGGCATGATAAAATTTGACATGTATTACATGGGTACAATGTGTGAAGCCCATTTCTGGTGTCCCCCGCCGTGATATTGCTGGAATATTGCTAAAAGCGGCGTAAAACCATACTCACTCACTCACTTCACATTAAAAAATTATATATATATTTTCTTTGCAGTGAATTCCTAATAGATAATACCACCTGGCATATGATACGGGGTAAGTGTGGAAAATGATTACTTAATCAGAACTGTTGCTGAAATTAGAACTACTATGTAACGGCTGAAATGAAGTTAAAGAACACCTGATTCTCTCATATGACTAACTGTTAATCTGTCATGGCAATATGCATTGTAAGTGGTTAATACCATCCATCAAAGACTTAGACTAGGATGACAAGAGCTTAAATTTGATGTTTGGCCAATTTGTATCCCTTTTTGGTACATACATAGTATGAGGCATTTCGAGAAAACACTGCACCTAACCAATGTCTATCATACCAAAATGTCTCACTGGTTTTTAAGCTTCCTGAAATATGTAATGGTGTTTGCTCCCTCAAGGTGGTACCACTGACCCCCTGGGAAATACCAAACCTAACCCACCTGCTGCACCCCTCATGGTTTATTCTCCCGGCAGTATTTTATTGAAGCACAAATCCCACACATCGGCTATTTCTTAAATAAAGTCACCTCTGCAATGCCATTATATGGATGATGATGATGATGATGATGATGATGATGATGATGATGATGATGATGATGATGTAGACTAACATTTAGTCTCTGAAATCTTATATTACACAATATCCTTCTTGACTCTAAAAATAATAAAAAAAAAGTCCCTATGCTGATTTCAGAGTGTGCTTGAGCTGGCTAGACTTGCTTTTGTATGAATTTCTAGATTATTTTTTTTCATAAAATAAATATATTCCATGGTCATGGTGCAGGACTAATGATGATGATGATGATGATGATGATGATGATGGCTAGACTTGCATTTGTATGAATTTCTAGATTATTTTTTTTCATAAAATAAATATATTCCATGGTCATGGTGCAGGACTAATGATGATGATGATGATACTGGCTAGACTTGCTTTTGCAGAGCTCCAGATAAGCTTTTGGTGTTGTGGGTATTTTACCCATGCATTTTAAAAATCATTGGGTATCAGTAATTCTATCTGCGTATTCAAATTTCTGTTACCCACTAGTTTTTACACATGTGGGTATTTAAGTTAAATATTTAAAAACACTATTCATCTAGTCCCTGCAAACTGGTGTCGTGTGGGTTCGAGAGCTTTATAGGACTCAAAAATACCACGATACTTCCACAAGAAAGTGTGATGGCAAATGATCATGATGTAACTGTCATCGAGGAGTTTGGCAAGGTTAACGGAATGCCCGTTTATAATTTAAAAATAAGTTGCTGATTTGCTAATCGAATACGCAGGGTTACTTCACAATATTTTGATGATACGCACAAGTTTTAATTTTTGTAGCGTATCTGTAATGTTCGTTGTGTATTTGATACGCTTGGATGATATTTTACTGTGTATTTCTGCATTTCTGATGCGTATTTCACGCAGATACGCAGCTTATCTGGAGCTCTGTTTTGTATGAATTTCTAGATTATTCTTTTTCATAAAATAAATATATTCCACAGTCATGGTGCAGGACTAATGATGATGATGATGATGATGATGATGAAATGGAAAAAAGATCATGATAATAACATGAATTGGAAAGTTATTTAATTTGCGATTTGGGATTTTTTACTGTATTTGAGCCGGTGAAGATAATCAGGTGAAAATACATGCAATACAATGTTGTGACTAAAAGATGCTTTGACTTAGTACCTATGTGCTTGTTGTATCTGTGTTTTAACACTCCAGGTGCTCAGATGATTCTGTCCATGAAGATTATATCGGTGTCGTTCGACCTTGGGAACGGTACAGTTACCTCCCTTCCAACCATATTTGAATTCCTGGGATACTCTCTGAATGTTGGAACTGTGGTATTCGGACCCTGGGTCAGCTACCAGGATTATATGACAATATTAGAACAAAATAAACGATCAATAGTAAGTATATATCAGAGTTATCTCCCTTCACAAGTTGTACTTTTTGAAAACAGGAATGAAGGGCTTCAGCTTCCTTTTCTTCTCCAGTATAGGTCCAAGTACCTTTCTCAAGCTGGTGATAATTGTATTAAAAACTGTACTGAAACATCACATTTTAGTTAAATAAAGAAATTGAAATTGATTGTGCCTACAGCTGCATAATACACCATAATCTGGTGCCCTCGGTCCAGGTAACAGTGGTGTTGTAAATAACATGTGTCAAGCTGAGACCATCTTCCTGAGGCAAGGGCGTTAACTGACTATAAAAGTCCAGTTTCCACCCTGCTGATATCTCAGGTTGAAGCCAATTTTGGATGATAAGTTTATAGGAAGAAATCATAAACCCATTCAATTAATACTCAGTCTAGTGCAAACACTATGGAAACATAAACTTGTCTGGGTTTTAGTTGCTGTGATATATACTTTTGAGTGTGTCTTTAGTTGAGAAAATTAACAGTTTATTCTGACATGTCTAGAGTTAACTATGTCTATGTCCATGGAGAGCCATCTTGTATGACCTGACTGTATCTGTCTGCAGTCAATGTCATGGGTGTGGAAGGTGGTGTCCAGCGGAGTGCTCTCCCTTGTCTGTCTCATCCACTCAACCTGCTTCACCCAATGGCTCATCTTGGACAGTGCCAACAAGTCAGTAGCCATGTAACCATGTAGCAGTGTAACAGTGTTGCTATGTAGTGATGTAACTGTCTAACAATATAGCAGTGTAACAATGTAGCCATGTAGTGATGTAGCATGTAGCAGTGTAACAATGTACGTGATGTAGCAGTGTAACAATGTAGCCATGTAGTGATATAGCAGTGTAACAATGTAGCCATGTAGTGATGTAGCAGTGTAACAATGTAGTGATGTAGCAGTGTAACAATGTAGCCATGTAGTGATGTAGCAGTGTAACAATGTAGTGATGTAGCAGTGTAACAATGTAGCCATGTAGTGATGTAGCAGTGTAACAATGTAGTGATGTAGCAGTGTAACAATGTAGCTGTGTAGTGATGTAGCTGTCTAACAATGTAGCTGTGTAGTGATAATAGCAGTATAACAATGTAGCCGTGTAGTTATATATCCAGATAATAATATAGCAATAAAGTATGATACCCATGTAGTAATACCAGCAACACAACAGATCAGTTGGTCAGGCTGAGTGACCTGGTTGTTTGAGGGTCTTTGTGCCATGAAGCATGGATCATAAGTGATAATATCAATCACTTGTTTGTCTGGCCCGGATTCATATAATTTACAGGTCTTACATTTAGCTAGACTACTGCTGAATGTAGTATTTACCAAAGACTACACAAAACCTATATAGCCATGTAGTAATCTAGTAAAATGATAGTGTAGTACTACAGTCATGTAATAATATATCCATGTTATACTATTTAGTGCTATGACCATGTTGTAATATATATAGAGGTTATCACGCGAGTGTGTTTGGGGATGGTAAATATCCTGCATTAGGAATAAACATTGTATTTAGCGAGCCTTGGCGAGCTAAATACATAGTGTTTATTCCTAATACAGGATATTTACCATCCCCAAACACACAAGCGTGATAACCTCTTTATCATATAATGTCATTCTTTAACTCTTTGTTGCAAAATCGCTTTCCCTCTCTCATAAAAATTACCGATACATTGCGAGTATTCCTGGAATGCGCGCATTAATATTTATTACGTCACAGGGTAAGTGATGTGTCAGTCGGACAGTGACAGTAGCCAATATAGTTCCAACTGAAATCTGTTTCTTTAATTGCCTTTCGCGGCAATCCATCCGCTGTCCGCTAGAGTAACTGCCCTTTGTCAAAGGGAAGCTACTCTAAACCTAGTCTACCAGACGTCACGGCTGTTGTTGTTGACAGTCGGGCTGTCCTGTCATAACGTTAAGAAGTGCAACCAGATGTACACACAGGGACAAAACGAAACAAGGTAACAATTCAAACATATTTCGGCCAAATCCAACTATTTTAATATGTGGAGAAGGTTTCAAGCCGCAGAAGTCTACAAGCACAGATATGACTACTGATCCCGCTTGGCTAGGCCTCCTCGTGCCCTCGCAAAATTGTTTCTCCAAAGTTGCCAAAACGTATAAAATGCCTTTGCTACGTAACAGTTAGACACTGATTTTCAGTATAATAGACTGTCCTTTTGATAATGATAGCAATTATCTCTGTAGTTTATCCAGATTCCCGATGGTTAATTCTGACTCGATTGCCGAATGACAGGGCAACGCCATGTTTGTTTATAAACAGTGAAAGTAGTCCCTACTTGACCTTTGATATTTGCATCTCTATCCGCATATGACCCCAACGGATATCGTTTTTATCCGTTGGCTTTATCCTGCCGAGAAACCTACCCATTATATGATAAAGTGCTATAGCCATGTAGTTATGTGGCCATGTTGTAATATATCGTGCTATAGCCATGTTGTAATATATAGTGTTATAGCCATGTAGTAATATAGCCATGTTGTAATACATAGAGCTATAGCCATGAAGTAATATAGCTATGTTATAATAAATAGTGCTATAGCCATGTAGTAATATAGCCATGTTGTAATACATAGAGCTATAGCCATGTAGTAATATAGCCATGTTGTAATCTATAGTGCTATAGCCATGTAGTAATATAGTCATGTTGTAATATATAGTGCTATAGCCATGTAGTAATATGTCCATGTTGTAATATATAGTGCTATAGCCATGTAAGAATAAACCCTTTTTAATGTATTGAAATTATTTGTTGTGTAGCGATGTAGTAATATAGCCATTTAGTCTTAATATAATAATCAGCATACCCTGACACTCTTCAATAGATATGAACTATGTGAGGTATTTTTATATGTACATATTAAAGGAAATAATCAGCTCAGTCATCAGTTGTGGCTCTGTGTGTTTCAGATGGATCACAGCCTATCGGGATGCCCAGTCCTTCCGCTTCAGCCACTACTTCGTCAGCTACATCTCCGAGACAACATCGACACTGTCTGGTCTGGGCTCCACTGTGGTGGAGGACCAAGTGCTGTGGTGAGACCTAGGTCACAGTATAAACAGTGTACGACCAAATGAATTGACATAATCATCTGTACATCTTCCCAAGGCAAGGGAGTTAGCTGACTCAAAAGTCCAGTTTCCACTATTGCCGAACTAGGCTCCATTAATGGAGTTGTATTTTGGCTGGATTTTGCCATGCCTAGTCCAATCAAAATTGTGTAATGAAATCAACATCCCGTTGTAAACTGCCATGCAGATTGAGGCACTTCACGAAGTAAGACCTGTTTTATCACAATATAGATTTTATTATCGTTCAGATCGTCTTGACTGAGTGCCACCATATTGTTTGAAGCAAATGCAAGTGATATGAGAGGTAAAATCTGATTGGTCAATAGGAGGGACATAGAAGGGAGATAACTAGTAATAGCCACTGACAGTGCTGCAATCAAGCCCAGAAATTCCATCCTAGCTTGTTGAGGATGGAAACTAAACTTTTACAGTCAGTCAACTCCCTTGCCCCGGGAAGATGCGATCTGTAAGGCTGGTTGAGTCTTATTGTTTAACCTGTTGATAGTAACCATGTGCTATTTATTAACGTTAAAGTAAACACGAGTCCATGGAAGGTATCTGTGGCTTGTATGAATATATTTCTATTCATGGGTTGCCTAGTACATTCTCACATCAATGCACCATGCAGAGTTGCATCCCTTAGCCATGCCAGGATCAACTGATCATTCGTTTTAATCCCTGGTTTGTCAGCACCAGTGCCATGCTAGCTTGTTTCACCAAAGTTGTGATCATCTATCACCTACGTCTGACAATGCTTCCATCAGACATTATAGCTAAAATGGATTGAATTATCATTAAACCGCCAGCATGTTATCAGAAATGAGCGGGCCACTGTAAATTGATAATGCCCTCATATTGCTTGACGACAGGCCACTTTCACGCCCTTTGTTAGGTGACGTCATGGGGAAAGATGACGTCAAGTTCAATAGTGACGTCATCTGTTTTGTTCTATGACGTTTCCATATTTGTAAAAGTGGGTCAGTGACATTCGTGTTGATTGCAGTAAATGTTTCAAAACCGATATTGTTGTTTCTTTTTATTTGATAACAAATTCCATCCATTTTAGCTATAATATTGGTAACGCTATTTTTCAGGGCATTAGCATTTGTAGAAGTCCTCGGCCTTTTAAACGCCTCTCCTTCATCAGGCAGTTAATGGAAAACCTCAGGCTTCTGCAAATGAAAATGCCCTGAAAAATAGTCGCAGTACTGTGTCATGAGTGGGGCATCCATGTTAAACTGTGGCATGGCACAGACCCACAGACACACATACATACTTGAATGGGATGTTACACCCATATTCCCCTCCCCTCCCCCCGCCCTCCCCCCCAATAGCAGTGGTAAACCCAATTCAGTTATTCCCAGTTAGACAAGCTTCTCACTGTCACACAATCTGACCCTGTCCTACATGTTATACAAACCTATTGACAACAGTGCCATGACCTTGTGCTTGTAGTTATCAGCCTATATCAGCTAATACCCCCACGTCTTGTCCTAGGGAGAAGTCTGTGGCTCGGCCAATGAGTATGGAGCTGCCGAGGTCGCTGGTGGACGTGGTGCGCAACTGGAACCTCCCAATGCATTACTGGCTGAAGACATGTGAGTAGCCATGAGCCATCTTTATGTTGATGTGGTCATTAGTAATATCAGAAATATTAGTTTTTCGAAATGGTGGTCATTTACGACATTATGAGAAGTGGTCTTTTACATGGAGAGCTACTAAAAGCATGAACTTATAATTATTTAGGTGTTATTTTTTCTGCTAGATTGTGATGGACTGTATGTACAAATACCCTTGTATCAAAAGACAGTAAAGCTCTTTTTGTTATTAAAGCAATTACACCATAAATAACCAAATATTCTGGTAAATGTGTTATTTAAGTTGTTTGTTTGTAAAATAAAACCAATTTTGTTACATGGAGAGGAGGTGTGGGTCTTCCAGGAAAGAGTTCTTATAGATAGATTTCAAAATAAGTCTTGTAAATATGTATTGGGTGTTGGTAAACATGTATTGAGTAATTTTAACAAATTTCACAGCCGAAATGCAGGTGGAAAATCAAAATGAAAAAAATTGGTGGCACTGCTGGTTTGAGGTTTATTTCTCTTAGTATATGAGTGACATATTAACAACAGAACACATCAATAGAACATGTCGATTACTGCTTTTTCTAACTTTGAAAAAGATAGGGAGAGCTGATTGTTAAACCAAGAAATACTTGGTTTATTTCTGTTTTGTAGGCCATCGTCCCCTTTACAAAGTTGTTACATTCATATCATATATATATGACAATTAGGCGGTAGATGACACAGTATAATAACTATCAAAAGCAGATTTACATACCAGAGCTTCTTTAACCATGTTAACCAACTTGGCCCATATATTAAGGATTGACACATCATTAGCAGATTAGAAGTCAATAATTTACAAATATTTGATGAAAAATCCCAATTTGGTAAATATGAAATGGAGTTCATCTTCAATGCTATTAGGATTACACATCCTACAAATTCATTTAACAGTTATAGCTTATTTACATCATTATTACAACACAAAAGCATCCAGATAGTCTCAACAAGCATATATATCTTCTTAATTCCCCATCATTGATATTTGTAACATAATATTCAACAGTCAGCAATGACTTAATATTCTTATAATGTGCAAGTCATGTTGAATCATTGATATTACTAGACATATTTTGTTTCCCTCAGTCTTCTAATCTTTCTGAATGACAGAAAATATGAAATATCTCCAATATCTTGTCTAACCCATGCATATCTAAAATCATACATGTATAACAATATTCTTGCCCATGTCTTCATTCCTGCTGAATCTTACTTCTTAAAAAGGAGGTAACATTGCTTTGAATAGTGATTGTCAGACATTCTTAATTTATACCAGTACTTTAGTCTGGTCTGGGCGGGAGAAGTTACTGTAATAATCCCAACATGCCTGGAAATAGCTATATGTGACTAGTGTCCAGTAGAACATTTACTATCTCAGTACACCAGCCATGGACCAGTGGGTATTGAATGGCCACAATGGCCACTGAGTTGGGACGGTACTTGGATGGGGAAGACTGGTCAACCCTTCGGACCCCTAGCCTGGCATTCCAGGACTAGTGTCCAGTAGAACATTTACTATCTCAGTACACCAGCCATGGACCAGTGGGTATTGAATGGCCACAATGGCCACTGAGTGGGGACGGTACTTGGATGGGGAAGACTGGTCAACCCTTCAGACCCCTAGCCTGGCATTCCAGGACTAGTGTCCAGTAGAACATTTACTATCTCAGTACACCAGCCATGGACCAGTGGGTATTGAATGGCCACTAAATGGGGACGGTACTTGGATGGGGAAGACTGGTCAACACTTCAGACCCCTAGCCCGGCATTGTGTGCCATCACACTGCAACAGTCGTTGTGGTTTGCTTGTGTCATTTTGTTGTTGTCCTTTATTTCAGATGTTTTTAAATCAGCGAGACCCCTGGGTAATTTTATTGCTGTCCTCCTCACGTATGCAGCTAGTTCCATCCTGCATGTAAGTAAAGACGATGCACCAGGTAGACTAGTTGTCAGGGAGGCAGTACCGATACCAAGGATGATGTTACATAATAAGGCAGTTTTATTTACTAGTGACTCAATATTTCACTTGTAGAATTTGACTTGATAGTTTTAATTTCTTTTTTTGTTGTCCTTAAACTTGCAATTCCTTGTGTTCTGTAACAGCGGAGTTATTTTTTTCATAAACTGCTACTATCAAAGTAGACACCATGGCCCACTTGCACAAAGCGATCTTAGTGCTAAGATGATTGTAACTCCCATACTTTAACATAGGCTTACGATAGTCTTAGCGCTAATATCACTTTGTGCAAGTGGGCCCATTTATGGAACTTTAATATACTATTATAGCGACATTTCTGGTAAGGATCTATGGTTGTCAAACTAGTTCCAAGTAAACAGTTGTGTACAATCAACCTGGGAAAGGAACTTTGATTATATTTCACACACTCGAAGAAGACACAACACCGGAAGAAGCATGTCAACAAATCCATACCGAAGTACACAAGTTTGTCCTATTATTACACTATCTGGCTATAAAAGTGGTCATTGTGTATCTGGACTTACATTTGTTATCCATTAGATTACTTTTATCCAAGATTACATTCAATCTTATTTACATTAATTTTGGTGAAAATCGTGCATGAACTGATCGGCAACTCACATCAACTCACCATGAACTCGCCTTGAAAAGAACATTAGTTGTTCGGGATACAAAGGCTTCGGTCTTCCTACCACTGTATTGAAAATTTTTTTCAGTTTTTATAAATGCCATGACATTAAGTATTTTGTAAACTAAATCACCCACAGATAGGGAGAAAATGTGTGAACAGCTGATTGCTAATATACAGCTAAATAAAAAATAAACATAAACTTAATCTCTGCGTATGAAACATTGTCCGGCATACCGAACACAAGTACCGCTGAATTTGTAAATCATCATGTCTAGCGATGTTTTATCGTAAATTTCATGTTTTCATTTACCAAATTTGCAAATGTCAATACAAGCATACAATCTCCTATTGCTGCCATGATCATAACATGGGATATGCAGTATAGAAGTGTGCTTGTCAAGGGAAGTAACTGCATGTTATATTAGACCACATTGTTTTTAAGTATTGTAGCTTTCAAGTGTCAAACTGTCAGTGCTTTCATTTCTGGATATTGAGACGAGGTGATTGTGTTGAGCCTCACCAAAATACTGGTTATGAAAATACCATTGTTAGACACGTTTTTTCCTTCATATTTCAGTCTATTTATTGAATAACTTAACTTGTTGGAAGTCATTGATTGATCATTGAGAGTGTTGTTGTGATTTCAGTTGACCCTATGCTTTTTTGTTGCAGGGTCTGAACTTTCAGTTAGCAGCAGTTTTACTGTCATTAGGATTTTATACGTACACAGAATATGGTGAGACACATGTTTATTCATCCTTCTTCCCGAGGCAAGGGGGAGTTAACCGACTGTAAAAGTATGAATTCCATCCTTGCCGTGGCTTCATCATAGCGCCCCCAGTGGCTATTACATGTTATATCCCTTCTATGTCCCTCCTATTGGCCAATCAGATTCCACCTTTCATATCACTTGCATTTGCTTCAAACAAAATTGCGGCATCCAGTTAAGACAATGTGATCAATAATCAAGAACTTTATTGTATTTCCTTGCAAAGAGTATCAAATCACTTGATTAGAAACATGAAAGATTTGGAATTTATGTTGATGCCCAGTTGACGGTACACATCCTCTGCAAATCCTGCAATCAACCGAAATCTGTTCAGTAGTCACCATGTTGTTCATGAATCCGTGGCCGATTTCGTACTACGATTTTGATTTGCCAATGCATAAACTTGTATGTCCAGCCATAATATCTATCCATAATTCCAGCCTTGTTCAGCAAGGGTTGAAACTGGACTTTTATAGTTAATTAACTCCCTTGTCTCGGGAGGATGTTTTTAAACATTACGACATATAGTGTTCGAATAATGAGGCATGCACTATTTGAGAGGATGAGAAATAGATTATATAAAGCTGTAATCTCAGATTTGTTAGAATTAAGTAAGGATTTAACTTTCTTCTAATGTCAGTTTCACAAGTTTAAGTGTGAATTGAAAACACTATTTTATCAAATATTGACTGCAAATTAAAAGAATGCGTTTTTCTTTGTTTCAGTTCTAAGAAATAAATTGTCCCGAATATTTAATGCTTGCATTCAGGCAAGGATGTGCAAAGAAGACTGTGAACATACATACAAATATGTAAGTAAATGAATTATGATGACAGAAGCTGTAGAGGGATTCTGGGGCAGAGTGGTACCCTATGTGATGGGCATGCTTGTCCTAAGAGGCAACTAACAGGATTGGGTGGTCAGGCTCTGAGTGCCAGGGACTCCGGGATCCGGGTAGAGAATAGGTCTTCAGCAACCCATGCTTGCCCTAACAAGCGACTGTGTTTGTTGTAAGAGGCGACTAGTGGTGGGTCAGGCTTGCTGATCCAATTGCATGGATTGATGTTCATGATATTTATCACTGTATTGTCTGGTCCAGACTCGATTATTTACAGACCACCGTCATATAGCTGGAATATTCCTGAGTGCAGCGTTAAACAACAAACAAACAAACAAACAAACATTATAATAGTGTAATGAAGATCACTTTGGTTCACGTGTCACCTGGCTTTGTTGGTGTCATCCTGGCTTTGTTGGTGTCATCCTGCTCCACAGATGTAACTTCATGCACACGCAGATACAACTACAGTCAAGTCTCGTTAATCCGACACTCGTTTATCCGACAATCGGCTTTATCCGACACAAATGATGGGAACCGATTTAATCAGTGCTATTTAGACCCGTTAATCCGACAGTCTCGCACTCCGACTCCGACACATCTAATTTGCAACGAATTGCTGAAATCACTCATTAATCAGTCTCGTTAATCCGACACAGTGATCAGCATACTCCGTGGTTATCTGCCCGCTAGTACACAGCCCGGTGTTTTGATGCGAGACAAGTCGGCAACTAGCTGCATATTACAACGGCTGCTGAGATACACTGGCTTAACAATAAACAATTACTGCTTTAAATAAACAAAACAGGATTAATCACATGCCTAGATTACCTCACTCAGGACTAGTTTCAAATCAGCGACTTCCATTCCAGACTATGCTTTAAAAATCAGTCATACAGTCCGTAACAGTAGTTTTGTGCTAAACTTTAGTGGTTGCATGATTAGAAAACATATTCCGCTGACATTATAACACAACAATATGTGAATATTTCATTTTTCCTTATCCTACGTGTTCGTATCGTTATTTATCATGTAGTTGTCCAATTTTCGATCACAAACGTTTATACTACCTAATTTCGTTTATCCGACATACTCGTTAATCCGACATAATCATATGCAACCATCTATGTCGGATTAACGGGACTTGACAGTACTTGCCTCGTCCAGACTTGATTATCTCCCCTGTGTGTGATACAGCTGGACTCATGCTGAATGGGGTGGCAAACCATCTTCACTCACTCATGACAGAAACACTGGATTAAGCCAATTGTAGAGGTTCTTTTCTTCATGATGTTAGTAAATGATGTTTTTCATAAATATGACATCACAACCTATTTATCTCTTATGCAATAAAAACATAATTCAGTAGCGTTCCAGTTATAACAAGTGTTTGGGTCTGAGTGGTAGGACTTTGATTTTGACCTATTTTGGGACTAATCTCCGGTAGATTTTCGCCTTTGTTTTGCTTTACATGCAGTAAATTCTATTGAATGGTAATATGAAAGAGTTCTGTGTCACAGTCTGGTCAATTTTTACTATGTGCCACAACTCTGTTTGGGAATCAATGTTAGTGCTACAGCTGTTGTAAGTTCATCATGTTCATGTTAATGTTCTGAAGTTATGATCTGCCTAGTACTAAGATCACTTTGTGGAACAGGGCCCTGGGTTGTAGGAATGATGGTCTCTCATGCTCCCTATTTGTCTCAGGGGCAGATTGGGATGAAGTGATCAGTTGAGATGTATGTGGTACCCTGATGACATGGATCATCGCTTGTGACACTTGCATTGCACAGCTCAGACTCAATTATTTCCAGATGACCTTGATCACATAGCTGGAATCTCACTCACTCACTAACACACTCACTCACTCACTCACTCACTCACTCACTCACTCACTCACTCACTCACCCACCCACCCATGCACTCACTCACTCACTCACCCACCCAAGTACACACTCACTCACTCACTCACTCACTCAAGTACACACCCACCCACCCAAGTACACACCCACTCACCCACTCACTCACCCACCCACCCACCCACTCGCTCGCTCACTCACTCACTCACTCACTCACTCACTCACTCACTCACTCACTCACTCACTCACTCACTCAACTACCCACCCACCCACTCACTCACTCACTCACTCAACATGTTTCAGCACTGTATCAGCTTGGTCACCACAGACATTCATGGAAGTTGTCTGGATGTGTCTCACGTTGCTGTCAAGGCAACCGAAATGGGATAAGATGTAAAGAGAGAATACTGTTGTTTTTCCTCCTTCTTATCTGTTAATGGAAGTAAAGGAGCATATGGAAGTCATGTTTAAAAACCAGTATGTGTGTTACAGGGCCGCCCTCTAGTGCTACTCACCGATCTGTGTCCGTGTGTTACAGGGCCACCCTCTAGTGCTACTCACCGATCTGTGTCCGTGTGTTACAGGGCCACCCTCTAGTGCTACTCACCGATCTGTGTCCGTGTGTTACAGGGCCACCCTCTAGTGCTACTCACCGATCTGTGTCTGTGTGTTACAGGGCCACCCTCTAGTGCTACTCACCAATGTGTGTCTGTGTGTTACAGGGCCACCCTCTAGTGCTACTCACCAATGTGTGTCTGTGTGTTACTGGGCCACCCTCTAGTGCTACTCACCAATCTGTGTATGTGTGTTACAGGGCCACCCTCTAGTGCTACTCACCAATGTGTGTCTGTGTGTTACAGGGCCACCCTCTAGTGCTACTCACCAATGTGTGTCTGTGTGTTACAGGGCCACCCTCAAGTGCTACTCACCAATCTGTGTCTGTGTGTTACAGGGCCACCCTCTAGTGCTACTCACCAATGTGTGTCTGTGTGTTACAGGGCCACCCTCTAGTGCTACTCACCAATGTGTGTCTGTGTGTTACTGGGCCACCCTCTAGTGCTACTCACCAATCTGTGTATGTGTGTTACAGGGCCACCCTCTAGTGCTACTCACCAATGTGTGTCTGTGTGTTACAGGGCCACCCTCTAGTGCTACTCACCAATGTGTGTCTGTGTGTTACAGGGCCACCCTCTAGTGCTACTCACCAATGTGTGTCTGTGTGTTACAGGGCCACCCTCTAGTGCTACTCACCAATCTGTGTATGTGTGTTACAGGGCCACCCTCTAGTGCTACTCACCAATGTGTGTCTGTGTGTTACAGGGCCACCCTCTAGTGCTACTCACCAATGTGTGTCTGTGTGTTACAGGGCCACCCTCTAGTGCTACTCACCAATGTGTGTCTGTGTGTTACAGGGCCACCCTCTAGTGCTACTCACCAATGTGTGTCTGTGTGTTACAGGGCCACCCTCTAGTGCTACTCACCAATGTGTGTCTGTGTGTTACAGGGCCACCCTCAAGTGCTACTCACCAATGTGTGTCTGTGTGTTACAGGGCCACCCTCTAGTGCTACTCACCAATGTGTGTCTGTGTGTTACAGGGCCACCCTCTAGTGCTACTCACCAATGTGTGTCTGTGTGTTACAGGGCCACCCTCTAGTGCTACTCACCAATGTGTGTCTGTGTGTTACAGGGCCACCCTCTAGTGCTACTCACCAATCTGTGTCTGGGTCTCCTTTCTGTCTTTCACCTTGCGTACCTGGGACTCATGTTTGACAGCAGCTCAGAAGAGGAAAAGGTAATTCTTTGATATGTTTTCTCCGGGTGAGATTGTTTTTAAAGTCTGATTGAAGAACTTTTTCCATTTTTGTGTTTACTATGTCGCCAATAGAATACTTTCTCTACCATTAGCATCTTAAAAAATATTGAAAAATTTCTAGCTTCAAATATAACAAAAGTTGAATTTCTGAAGGATTCTGATGCTAGAACTGCTAATCAGCCTGAGCCTAGCGTCCTGTTTACTGTGTGTGTTTGTTGCCAGGGCTACACGATGAGTCACACCCTACGGAAGTGGTCGGCATTGGACTATGCCAGCCACTGGACCGCTCTCGGGACCTTTGTCTTCTTCTGGATGATCTAGCGCTGCATGACAATTCCTCAAGTCTGCAGGTGCACTTCTGTAAAGGACGGTGTACCATTTAACAATCATGACTGTGGCAAATAGTCTGTTCAAGGTGTATAAATGAACAACTGCTGAGAGTGTTTCATGTGTTAAAAGCTATAACTCTGGTACAAGTCAGAATACCAATCAACAGACTCCTCTGACAGGGGCAGTTAATCTGTTCAAGGTGTATAAATGAATTACCCCTGAGAGTGTTTCATTTGTTAAAAGCTATAACTCTGGTACAAGTCAGAATACCAATCAACAGACTCCTCTGACAGGGGCAGTTAGTCTGCGCAAGGTGTATAACTTAACAACTGCTGAACATGTTCAGTGTGTAACTTACGTATCTGGTACAGGCTAACTTACATTGGAGGAAAGAAAAGCAAATGTTGCTGAGAGAATAGGACCAGAATACCTTGATAAGGTTGGCAGGCTAGATGGATAGTACAACCATGCCTGTCTAGGGATCTGGTCATGAAGTGCTGTGTGATTAAAAAGACCTGAGTTTCTAATCAATATCCCAAGAACATGTGTTGGGATATGATAAAGACATTGTTGCATTCTCACAATTCATTGGGGCTTTTTATGCTGAAATATAGAAAATCGCTTCTTAAATATTTGCTATAAAAGGACATGCTGAAATAGAAAAAAATTGTCTTAAATAGTTTCCATGAAAGAAAACATTTCATAATATATATACCTGTGTACATAAGAGGCTCAGAAGAATGCTGGTGATCTAGTCTGATTTAACATGTTCTTTTCTCTTAATACAGTAATACGTTTTTTAAAAATTGGTTTACCTATCCATCAAATCAACAAATGAGAAAAAATGAATTTTTTTACTTATCCTGCGTTACTCTTTAATGCATACACTGCTTTCTTTTGACAGAAAACAAAGCTGTGTGAGGTCCAGCTGAAAAATAAGTTGTTCCAACCAGTTGTAAGGCAGACCCTGTCACGCAGCACCCACGTGACCACAGAAGTGATGATGTCACGTATCTGCACATTACTGCTTGTCGCCTGGATGACAGGCTGTATTCAATAAACTCCTCCAGCTACTTGTGTTCATCCTTTGTGGTTGCACAGGGTTAGTGGCTTTTTGTCACAGGAATTTTACATCTGCTTTGTTGTTCCAATCCGCCATCTAGATTATTTTACGTGGTCACGTTCATCGTGGCATATGCTCCTTATTCTCTTGCACGGCTTGGTTATTGTTGTCTATTACCTTCTATCAACTATTTATTGGTATTAAAGGTAGGGTTTTCTCACTTGGTTGTATATAAATTTAATATTTTAACCACCATTAATGTTGGTTTTAAAATCATTGAATTATTATCCCTTTGTGGTGATTTCAAATTGACTTAAATGATAGATTTATACTCCATCGTTGCTCGGGGCAAGAAGTTGCTCAAGGATCCACACCCTTTGTGTTTAGACTGAACTGCCTTGTGCTCAGCGAAGAGAAAGTGTTCTTTTTGCTCTTCATGTTTCAACGCGTCACGCCGAAGACCCGAGTTCGATTCCCGACATGGGTACAATGTGTGAAGCCCATTTCTGGTGTCCACCGCCGTGATATTGCTGGAATATTGCTAAAAGTGGCGTAAAGCCATACTCACTCACTCACTCATGTTTCAATGAGTAACAGAAGGTATTCGACAGCGTCTTAGTCAACATTCTCTTTGTCACGCTAAGATGTCAGTCCCTCATCCCCGGGATCCATGTTGCGATCATTGCGCCTTCAGCCAAGACATACTCCCGTAGGCTCCTTGTCTAAACAAAGCTCCGAGTCTTCCAGATCCAGAAGCCACTCCCCTGTCCATTGGTCACAGGGCGCCATCCGAGGGCGCCTTTATCGCTAACTTTGAGGGATTTCCATCGGAACTGGACATGCACTTACGCTTATACCAAGTCTTGGACTGGATGGCAGAATGCCATGGCACTTTTGCGCCCTCCCCGAGCCCTTGGGTGGCCTAGAAGGACATTATCTGGTCTAAGCCGACCACCGTCCCACCGAATACCATGTTGAAGGACATGATCAAGGCACTTGATGAGGACTTCGCCAAACTATCGCTTACTCCTGCTTTCAAGTCACCTCATTTTAAGAAAGAGGACTTCCCTGTCCACGCCTTCGAAGTAGCTGATACGGCTCACACCTCATGAAGACCTTCAGCACATGACTGGTTTGTCTAAACCAATGAGTCTCAAGGTCTTGGATACCTGTATAACATTCATAGAAAAGGAGATCCGGCGGTCTTTGAAACCATTGTTGGCATTAGCATCCTCCTCCCGTGCCATCGACCAAGACCTGACTGAGACAAACCCAAACAGGACTGATCATCTGCAAACCATGATATATTACCAACACCGACAGATTAATCACATGTAATGACGGTCCTGGCCGAGAGCACTGCCACTCATCGACTTGGCTATCTAGCCCTCACAGATTGGGACTCTGAATTCAAACAGAGATTCCTGTGCCAAACCTTTTCTGCGACCTGTTTGTTCAATGGACAGATCTCTGACACCCATTCGATGGTTTCCAGTTATGACTTATCAGCACTAAAGGCATTAGAACATGTATCCATGATGCTGGCGAATATATCCTTTCAAGCAGGAAACTACCGTCCCAGACATCCCTCCATCAAGCATGCTGCAGCCAAGCCGTCCTTGAGTGGCAAGAGTCATGGAAGAGGGAAATCTCAGGGTAACTACCAGCCTCGCCGGGACAAGTACCTGGGCAGTGGTGGAGAGCGGAAGTGGAAGCGGAACCAGATTAGATCTGTTTGGGCAGAACTGGGCCATCTTGACAGACGGTTTTGGGTCTTTCCCAGTTATCAACATCGACCTCTGACAGACAACGTCATAACACCAGGCTTCTACTCACCAGTCTTCCTCATCCCCAAGAAGGACCCGGACAAGTTGAGGATGATACACAATCCCGCCAATTTCAACGAGCCATACCTAAAATGCCCGCCATATTTCCCCATGACCACCTTGAGACTGCTCAGGACCAGAATCAATTCCAGGGATTTCCTGGTCAGTCTCGACCTGCAGGATGCTTACCCGCGTGCACTGTTTTGGCCCTCTTGTCATCACCCAGCAGGTCACAATCCCAGACGCCACTGACATCTCCAGTTGTCCTGAAAAGGCTTTTCCGACTCTTGCAGCACTCGCACATGGGGGCTTTACGCTACAAGCATTGGCTTGGTAAGTCAGTTTATAGACCTTAGCATACGCTATTTTCTATTGCTGCCTTTTACCGGGATTTCCTCACTCTCTCTTTCTTGCTTGGACAGGACTGGTCCTTAGGCAGCCGATCTTCGCTAATAACTGCACTGGATCGGGACATCTTTGAGGGTTCTTGAGGATCACATCTGAAGGTATGCCCACCTCTGTACTGTCCAATACAGATGCCCTGATGAATAATGCAGGATATGTTAAGAAATTAGTAAAGTAAAATCAAAATATTTTTTAAAATTTGTATACTTCTCCTGCATTACTAAATCTACGGGCATACGCATCACAGAGCAACCTCCCCACAATGTCTTAATATGGTACGATCAAGCAGTAATGTGCAGGCATGTGACGTCATCACTTCCGTAGGTGCTGCGTGATGGGGTCTGCATACAACAGGTTGGAACAACTTCTTTTTCAGCTGGACCTCGCACAGCTTTTAGTCAAAAGAAAGCAGTAAATGCATTCAGGTGTAATGCAGGGTAAGTATATCATTGTTAAATGCATTTAGATTTCACTAATATCTGTGATGAAGGCTTTGCTGGTCACTGACAGCTTGGTTGGATGGTTATCCTAAGAAGCAGAGTGTAGTCTTGAGAGTGATGACGTTCATGATAAACTATGTACTTTGACACTATACATTGATATTGCATATACAAGGTGCTATTTTTACATATGTCTGACACCATTGAATCAAATTGTTTTGACGAGCTCATTTATCTTACTGACTTACAAGGCATTGAACTGCCATTGTTTTGATAATCATACTAATATTCTGCTGCTTAGACATGGCAATGTTTCAAATGTTTGTTGGATGGTAGTGCCTGGAGCACTGTTAGTCCAGGGTGAGTGAGTCAATGCTTCTTTTAGCATCTGAGGACCCAACGAATGCTTCAAACATTGAACCTGTGGTTCATCATGCTACATTTTGTAACAGTGTTATCTCCTATATGGGTTTTCCTCCGAGATCCACATGCAATGGTTTTTATGTGCTTGTTTCTTTGTGTGGGGTCATTGTGTTTGGTCTGTCTTCAGTAGTTGATGTGGCTAACTGGATGTATATTGGGTGTGGAGGACATTGTCAAGGGGCTGTTGGGATGTATGTCATAGTTGATGTGTCTAACTGGATGTATATCGGGTGTGGAGGACATTGTCAAGGGGCTGTTGGGATGTATGTCATGGTTGACGTGGCTAACTGGATGTATATCGGGTGTGGAGGACATTGTCAAGGGGCTGTTGGGATGTATGTCATAGTTGACGTGGCTGACTGGATGTATATCGGGTGTGGAGGACATTGTCAAGGGGCTGTTGGGATGTATGTCATAGTTGACATGGCTGACTGGATGTATATCGGGTGTGGAGGACATTGTCAAGGGGCTGTTGGGATGTATGTCATAGTTGACGTGGCTGACTGGATGTATATCGGGTGTGGAGGACATTGTCAAGGGGCTGTAGGGATGTATGTCATAGTTGACGTGGCTGACTGGATGTATATCGGGTGTGGAGGACATTGTCAAGGGGCTGTAGGGATGTATGTCATAGTTGATGTGGCTGACTGGATGTTTGGTGTTCGAAAAATGAAACCAAAGAAAAGTTCCTGTACAGCAGTCTTTAGTTTTCTCCATCCGGAACATCCTGTTTACATATCTCTGCAAGATACACGACATATATATGCTCTGAATGCATCACTTGCTTGTACCCAAAAATTTGGAAGCGTCCAAACTGATTTACTGATTAGATTCGGTTGAAAAACAAGGAAGCATCAAAAACTAGTTTAGGCCACACATTTTTTATTTTTCATATCACAGGCCCGCTGCCCCTACTGAAAAGAAGCTGGAAAAGAAATAAACATAAAAATATTTATTTTTATTTTGTCTCCTTATCGTAATATTGACCCTTTTATATGATATATAATATTATATATGAATACCATGTCCTTATCAGGTCAGTGATTCAAGAAGCTAGCTGCAGTTTAAACTCAACAGCAGAATGACTTTCATATAAATAAATAAATAAATAAATGATTGACATAGCTTTTTATTTTTATTTTTATTTCGACCGACCGACCTTGCATGGAAAAGCTGGAATAAATCTGTAAAAACAAAATTAGAGAAGTGTGGTCTTAATTATTACCTGGAACAAATTGTTCTTAATCCTTTTCCTTTGTGGTTATTTAAATACTTAACAGTTCAAGTCAACAACTACAACTGGGTATGATGCTAACGTTGGTTTGAGTCTTTTGGGAGAGCTTTGGTATTATGTTGTTTCAATCTTGCTTTATTTACATGGTGTGTGAACTGCTGATAAGTGTTCTGATTCAGATACTCATTTCTGTTTTGTCTGACTTGTGAATTAAAGGACAATATGGATGTCTTCTGTGGGTAGATGTATGAGGAACAGTTTCCATTCAAAATGTGTAGGGTTTAAATGTACTAGGAAATATATCCACATAATAATGGTATGTAGCCCCTGCCTGAAATAATTATGATTTGAAAACTGTCAAGCATTGTTTTACTTGTTCAAAGCATAATTAGAATTGTAGACCAGTATGGTGTGGATGACATAGCTCACACCAGTGTGATAGTGTGATATAGATGTAATATTGAAACTCACACCAGTGTGATATGGATGTAATATTGAAACTCACACCAGTGTGATAAAGATGTAATATTAAAACTCACCTGAGGGATTTAGCTGTAATATTGCCAACTCACCTGTGGGATTTAGCTGTAATATTGCCAACTCACTAGTGTGATATAGCTGTAATATTGCCAACTCACCTGTGGGATTTAGCTGTAATATTGCCAACTCACCAGTGTGATATAACTGTGATATTGCCAACTCACCTGTGTGATATAGCTGTAATATTGCCAACTCACTAGTGTGATATAACTGTAATATTGCCAACTCACCTGAGGGATTTAGCTGTAATATTGCCAACTCACCTGTGGGATTTAGCTGTAATATTGCCAACTCACTAGTGTGATATAGCTGTAATATTTGCCAACTCACCTGTGGGATTTAGCTGTAATATTGCCAACTCACCTGTGGGATTTAGCTGTAATATTTGCCAACTCACCAGTGTGATATAGCTGTAATATTGCCAACTCACCTGTGTGATATACATGTAGCTGTATGTATGTAGCTGAATGATCACTCACTTGGACCAATCATATATAGCTATTATATGACTTGCTCAGATCAGTGTGGCATAGACCAATCTATCTTACTTTAAGTTGAATTACATCAATGTGCGTCAGCTTCTATGTAGGTATATCATCGTTGTGAAGTGTTATTAAAACATTGTTGCATCATGTGCCAGCCAGAGTTGACAAATGTTAAGGAATGTGATGCATGGACCTCCATGTATAATACCTGTTTGTAATGAAAGCTGTATGATGTTTGCGTTCTTGTACTTGTGCTGTACTGAGACATGTATTCTTGTATGAACAACCTACCCAGCAGGGAGAATTCCATGGCTTATCGTAGGTGGACCTTTTGGGCCATTGGGCAAATTTGTACATCACTCTTAAGAATAAGAGTCAAAAATATATATTTTTAGCAGAATCGTTTTGCCCCTTTTTGAATTCTCCTTGCTACCTATCACATGTTTCATGTTACTATTGTCTAACTTATCTTTGTTAGAAAAAAATATTATATTTCTTAATATTATTATTCTTATTTTATTTATTGTGATAGGTATATAATGAATCTAAAAATCCCCGTTTTAGAGTTGTTGTGTGTTTCAGCTTTTTTGTTTACCAGCTGCAACGAGTGATCATATATACCAATAATAATGTTATGAATTATGAATCATGATTCAGCTCACCTGAACTAAAGTCGATGAGTTCCTGTCCATCACGTGTCATCCTTGCCTGTATTCCTCGGATGAAGCTGAAACTTGGTATGCATGTTCCCTCCATTGAGAACTGTGACCAGTTTCAGCATCCCTTGGCTATTATTACAACTAAAGGGTGGATCGCGTGGTCATTATGTATATACGTCCTTTATTGACCAATTGTTTGCTTGTCTAACACTATTATTTACAGGCCACTGTGATATGGCTGGAATACGGCTGACCGGGTCATAAAACAACATTCACTCTCCCACATTTGTAAGCGTCTCAACACCTTGTGCAGATTCTCCATCCCAAAAGTGGGCAATGATGAATCATCTATCTTGTCATAAGCTCATCTTTCCTAATTCATACTGGTAATTTGAAACTTATTAATATTTGCTGTCACCATAGAGACATTATATAAACACAAGCCATAGATCTGATTTTATTTCAAGAGGTATCAAATCTGACTAACCAGCCTAATAAGGGCAATAGGAAGACATTCTTTTCTTCTGATGCTGACATCCCTCCTAATGTACAGATTTGAACATGAGAGGTATCCTGTCCTGTAAGGGAGTTTACAAGACAGTTTTGCTGGCAATAGAAGGGTGCTGACCAGACTCCCGTTCCACAAAGTGATCTTAGCGCTAAGAATGTTGAAGCCTATGTTAAGGTATGGGAGTTACGATCATCTTAGCGCTAAGATCGCTTTGTGAAACAGGGCCCAGGTCACATTGTATCTATAAAGGTGAGGATATTCATGATGTTATGGGCGAGACGTGGTAGTCCAGTGAGTTTCTCGTGTGCTTTACACGAGGGCCTGGGTTCGGAAACCAAAATGGGTACATTCTGTGAAGACCCTCACGTGTGGTTAATATGCTGGCTTATTGCAAAAACGGTAAGCCATATTCACTTGCTCTGTTGCGAGGGTGGCAACGTTAATCATGATTGTGTTGAGTAGGTGGTTGTCCATAATACCAAAGGAACAAGGTTATTTGAATTTGTGTGGGTACTTGAGGTTATTCATGATGTCCAGTCGTATGTGATGTTATTCATGTTGTTGAGGGTATGAGGTTGAATGGGTGCCACTGGTATGGATAATAAAGAGGAATCTCATTTTCTATTTCAGTGTTTTGTGTATTTTGTTTCAGTTCGCCATTGAGAAAAAAAAGGGGTTTATGCAGACACAGAGGGCACGGGCCATTTCGTGTGTGTGTGTTTGTGTTGGGGGTGGGTTTGGTGGGGGGTGGTGATGGGTAAAGACATTTCACATTTATAGTGGGGGTGAGCAATGTAAAAATGACAGCTCTGGTTTTTTTCACATGAAGAAACAGTCTCATCCCCGCATGCAAGCACAGGCACAGGCACACACAGACACAAAACACAACCCCATAATAAATTTCCAATCCCTATGGACTAATATGTTGCACTAATACAAACAAAATCATGTCAATACAAAATAGTGTCAAATAAACTATGTCCTTCTGTAGGTACATTTCCTTTTTTCTGGAAACTTGGGGAGGTCGGGTAGCCTAGTGGTTAAGGCGTTCGCTCGTCACGCCGAAGACCCGGGTTCGATTCCCAACATGGGTACAATGTGTGAAGCCAATTTCAGGTGTCTCCCACCGTGATGTTGCTGGAATATTGCTAAAAGCAGCGTAAAACCATATTCATTCATTCATTCTGGAAACTTGACTTTCATAGTCAGTTAACTCCCTCGCCTCGGAAGTGGTACATTTAATACAATCAAATCTGAGAACATGCCACCCTGGGATGCTCAGTGGTCTTAGGCACCACTGCTGCATTTTCTGCAGGATTATGCCCCTTAGCCATGTCAGGATCTGCTGGTATTGGGTTCGAATCCAAATTATGGTGTGTGGGCACCATTCCTGTCATCAAAGTGGTGATATTGCAATATTCTTCAAAGGAGGTTAGACCTAACTCCTCCCTCCCCGCCCTCACATGCATGCCCTGTTACTTGAAGTGAAACACCTTCTCTATTGAAGGAGGCTACATAAAAGCGCCATCAAGAATAATTTGTGAGGACGATTGGATACAAGTATGAGGCAAGAACAAATCATTGTTGAAATGTATGTTATTGATCCTTGACAGTATGTGTACAATAGAAGTTCTTAACATTGCAATATTTCAGCTATATGACGGCGATCTATAAATAATTGAGTCTGGACCGGACAATCCAGTGATTGACATCATGAGCATCGATCTACGCATTTGGGAAACGATGACATGCATCAACCAAGGCAGCGAGCCTGACCACCTTGTCCCATTAGTCGCCTCCTAGGACAAGCATAGTCGCCTCTTACGACAAGCATAGTCGCCTCTTACGACAAGCATAGTCACCTCTTACGACAAGCATTATAGGGATAAAAAAAAAGCCTGGGTAAAAATCTATTTAAAAAAAACAGGAAATTAGAAATATACAAAGCAACTTAGTGAAGCAGGTGTATGAAGCTAAACCAATACCAGAAACAACTGTAATCTGATGCTGCTGAGGATACAGTCGGGTAGCCTAGTGGTTAAAGTGTTCGCTCGTCACACAAAAGACCCTGTGCCGATTCCTAACATGGGTACATTGTGTGAAGCCCATTTCTGGTGTTCCCCGCCGTGATATTGCTGGAATATTGCTAAAAGCGGCGTGAAACCTCACTCACGGATTCTGCTAAGATTGCAAGAGAGTGGTTGCAAATTCCACAGGTGCTTGTAAGGTGAAAATAGCAGCTGTAGAACCATGGCACCTGGCACGATAGTAATAAGACCCCGGCAGTGACCCTATATGACCACGTAGCTGCTAATGTTTGTGCCTACCCCTGTGACTAAATCCAAGGAAATGAACATATATGAGTACGAGGTCTAGATATGAATACTTATGTTTTATGGGGTAGACAAAATATGGAATTTGAATGTTTGCATATATAATATTTCGATACCAACCATTGTCGTCCGCAAAGTGTAGTTAAAATTTATACAGTTAAACCCCGTTAATCCGAAAAGTGGCGATACCACGTTTATTCCACGGTGCATGGTACAGAATAATGTCCTTTGTATACATGTAAGCGTTCCCGACAACTCTTGTCCGAAATGTGGAGTCCCCGATAAAAGGGGCAGGACAAATGAGATGTCACTATCCTCCAACCATGGTTCAGTGAGTGAGTATGGTTTTACGCCGCTTTTAGCAATATTCCAGCAACATCACGGCGGGGGACAACAGAAATGGGCTTCACACATTTTACCCATGTCGGGAATCGAACCCGGATCTTCGGCGTGACGAGCGAACGCTTTAACCACTAGGCTACCCGACCGCTCCCCTATGGTTCAGAGATGGATGAAACAAGACAGGAACATATCTAAATATTCACCACATGACCACAAGTAATACTTTGTTTTTGTTCACAAGGGCCTGTTATTGTTTTAATATTATAATATTATTAATTGTAGTTCTACTTTCATGGAACTGACCTGATATTACTGCGTTTCGGTGGAAAATAGTCCGTAAATCAATACAGCACTAACGAGATTTCATACATGCGTTTTATTAATTAAATTACAAAACTACGGTGGCTCATAAGGGACATGGAGTCTGTTTTTCAATATTTTGATATTTTGCAAATTAACACGATTTGTCTTACAAATATGTGATAAATCATGTGTAAAGAAGATATTGAATCGCTGAAAAACGAAACGAAAATGTCAAAAACTAAAATGAAAAAAAAAACAGAAAACTCTTTCCACCGCGGTGAAAATGGTTTTCTTTGTATTCATTTTAGTTTTTGACATTTTCGTTTTGTTTTTTTTGACATTTTCGTTTTGGTTTTTGACATTTCCATTTTAGTTTTTGATTTTTTCGCTTCACATTTCAGCGACTCAATAGCTACTTGAAAGTACATTTTCCATGTTTCGGTTGTTTTGTTACATGATTTATAACATATTTGTATGAAAAATTGTGTTAATTTGCAAAAGGTAACGATAAAAGTAAGTGAAACATCAAAATATTTGCCATATCATGGACACTACATGTTCACTAGAACGGCTAATTACCAAGTGTGGTTAATAAAGACATTATTACATACGCGTGTGTATTCTACTCACACTACATACTCGTCTCCCAAAATTAGTATGAAACACAGACCCATTGAATAATAGCTATACACGTATTTTAGGTAAAATCCGGTATACAATTGTGTCAAATGCAGGTTCGTCCTACATGATTTACACGTGCATATTTAGGTTTAAATAATACTCATAACATCAAAGCTGTTCCCGTGGAATGTAGGCGAGTATGCCCTGGAACCCCGAGGATGGTAGTGGACAGGGCATAGCATTTTTAGGTATAAATAATACTCATAACATCAAAGCTGTTCCCGGGGAAAGTAGGCGAGTATGCCCTGGAACCCCGAGGATGGATACGGTTCAGTAGTAGGACAGGTCAGGCGATGTCGTTTCCTCGATCCAGTCAAGAAACATATCCACTTTGGTGAAGACGCTGTAACTGGACCGCCCCTGACATGGACGTTCAGACGCCCAGCTGACTATACCTTCCAGATACCAGCGTCGCTCTGAAACATGAGTGAGTGAGTTGGGTTTAACGCCACTTTGAACAGTATTCAAGTTATATCACGGCGTGTCAGCTTGGTGTGAGAGGGAAGCCCGAAGTGATGCAGGTCTCAAACGTTCACCAGTTTGGTGAAACCCACGAGCACGGGTATGATGCTGACAAACCTAGAAACATAACCGGGACGAAACGGGATTCGAAAACACGATCATAGGTTTATTGCGAACCCAAGGGACGCAACTGTGAACAGCGAATTGCAGCGCCTTTGACGACTGGGCCACCCGTGAACCCCCCTCTGAAACAGGAGCAGTGTCAGAATGTGTTTAAGAACCATTTGTCCATTAACGCCGCACTCAGCAATATACCAGCTATATGACGGCGATCTGTAAATAATCTGGACCAGAAAATCCAGGGATTGACATCATGAGTATCGATCTGCGCAACTGGTATACCATGACATGTATCAACTAAGTCAGCGAGCCTTACCTCCCGATCCCGTTAGTCGCCTCTTGCGACAAGCATAGTCGCCTCTTACGGCAAGCAGGGGTTGCTGAAGACCTATTCTACCCGGATCTTCAGGGTCGCGGGTCTCGGTCATGAGTATCTTTGACTTACGTCCATAACTGCTCTGTCTGACCAGCGGGCCCCCGGAGTCCCCGGCACACGGGTGTTTGTTCGCAGCCATATTATCCGCACAGAACATGTTCCTTGTGACGCTGTTGTTCACTGCAAAGACAAAGGATGTGTTGGCCATGGTTGGCTTCATCATATGTGACCCACAAAGTGAAAATGGACCTTATAAGTGAAAAGTCACATTTTCATTTCTCATTGTATGTTAAGACTAAAGTATGTTGGGAACACAAATATACAATTCGCAAGCTTCAATTTATATTTACTACAGAGATACATGACATCCAACATTTGGACTCATTTTCTGCAGAGTCCCATTTTCAGACTTATAACTGTTTATGTAATAATTGCAGTTTTTAATGTCTGAATGATTTAACGTAGACATGTATGCTGAAATGTTTTGAAATAATGTTTTTATTACATTACGAACTAACGAGAGAAAAATTATTTTCGTACAGTCCGCACACATGGACATTTTTTAACGGAAGAAAGTTGACGTCAAACGTCCCTCTTTTTGACGTCACAACACAATTGTTTGCTTGCACTCATAACGTTCCATTTCTCCTGATAGGTCATATATTTCTCATGCAGTGGCGTGGCTACTGCGTGGCACAAAAAGCAAGGCCTTGTACTCACTTGTGTAGATCGTTAAAAACAATCCGAAATATTTTTTTTGTAAATGTACTTATATATGTTCTTCGTTCAGTCGTTTGTTATAGTAACATGATCTTTGGTTTACAGGATGTCTGCCAGTGTAAACCTTGTCGTGGATGAGTTGGTTCAGTTCAATATTGTTGTGTATGCTTGTTGAATTAGTTTGTGAGGATATCTGCGTTTGATCACAATGATCGATTGTTCCACTCTTGTACTCTATAACGTCCAAGGACGTGGCTGGGACATATTTGTGATATCTATGTTGTTGATAAATTGTAAGTGCCTTCTTGTTTGCTCTTGTGTTTGATTAGCGTTGTAAGTGTTTGCTTACATAATTTCCCCTAGTTACGTCCCTGTGAAATGCAATAATCATGAGTTTCTTCGTCCACGAAGCGTTATGTACGCAAAGATTACTAAACAAGTGTCTGTCAGATACCATTTATCTTACAACGAGACGAGTTGTTTCTAAACGTGGCTAAAGAGCGAAATCGTTAGTTTGATATGTTATGAAACAACGAATTGTAAGATACAGGCATGCATGAGTGAAGTATTCTGTTTATAAATCATCCTAAAATCGCGTCATTTTAGCATCGAATCGATGTATATTTTGTCTATTCTCATGATCGCAGTGACGCATGAAACACATAACGAAATGGTCATGAGTGACGTCATCCAGTTTATTACTTACTACTCATACCTAGACCAACCCCCACCCCCACCCCAGCATTGTAATTTGTGTTGATGCTGAGTGGTTGGTTCACCTACTTGAGTTTCATTGTTTTATAGGTTTTATGTGACGTCGTTCCAACAATAATTTCAGCTGAGTTTTGTATGTTTCTACATGTTTTCAGAAAAAAATCTATTAGTATGGATATAATATTGAAAAATCCTACTCGCAACTCGGAATAAAGGATTATCTGTGCATGAAATAATGTTCAATTTTTGTTTCTTTGTTCGTTTGTTTGTTGTTTAAGGCCGCACTCAACAATATTCAAGCTATATCACAGTGGTCTGTAAATAATCGAGTCTGGACCAGACAATCCAGTGATTGACATCATGAGCATCGATCCACGCAATTGGGATACGATGACATGCATCAACCAAGTCAGCGAGCCTGACCGCCCGACCCCGTTAGTCGCCTCTTACGGCAAGCATAGTCACCTTTTACGGCAAGCATGGGTCGCTGAAGACCTATTTTACCCCGGATCTTCACGGGTCTTTCCAGGCAAAACCAACTGGGATCAGACTCGGTAATGCTATGTAACATTTAGGGACCGGTCATTTATTACAGGTGTGGTGGGTCCGAGCTTTCTGAGGCACTAATGTACAGAAAATAATTATCCTCCCCGAATGCTTGTCATATTTAGAAGACCCACACCAGGTTCTTTTACAGTACTTTTTCATGACCCTCCCTTTGGAAGACAAAATGCAAATGTACTAAGTTTTATTATAAACTGTCCATTAATTCATGACCCCCCGAAAAAGTGTATTACGTTTGGGACCCACCCAACACTATGATAAATGGCCAGTCCCTTAGTGTTGTTTTGCATGGGATGCAGAGCATGGGATGCAGAGTAGGATAACCATGTTTGTGAAACTGTTCAGTTTTCAGTGTTACCTCCGTCTCTACGCAGGACCTTCTCACAGTGTCCGTTGTTCGGCTCAACTTTGAGTTCAGCTGAGCGCAGCGTCTGGGAGTATTCGGTATTGGCCACCTTGCCGAACCCCGTCACTACATAGCGGGGCAGAATCTGATCAGAGCGATTGGTCTGGTTGCCGCTAGAAGTCCGCTGTTTGGAAAGACAAGCAGGCTGAACCCTGGCGTTGACGGTCACGGATTTCTTCAGTTTCAAAAGCGCAACGTCGGAGTCGAATGTCCTAGAGTCGTAGTTGGCATTCACGTAGATTTGGGTAATCTGAAGAGGAAACATAGTTTTTGTGTATAAGGCAGCTAAACCATCAGAACTACATTGAATAATGGAGGACAATTGACTCCGAATTCTGAGCCGGAATCCCATCAAGAATGACTTTGATCGAGTAGTAGTTAGCTGCACCACTCCTAACCTGATTCAAGCCATATCAAAACCGTGAGGCACATTGCACCCGCGTGGGGAATCGAACCCGGGTCTTTTGTTGGGCGAGCCAACACTTTCACCACTAGGCTACCCCACCGCCGCTGATTGACTAAGAAAGTGAAATTGGACAGAGATTCACTGAGTTGTTGCCATATCTATTGCCCTAACAAAGATGTATGGTTGTAGTTTGTTTGTTGTTTAACGCCACACTCTGCAATATTCAATATTTCACCTTTATGACGGCGGTCTGTCAATAATCGAGTCTGGACCAGACAATCCAGTGATTGATATCATGAGCATCGATCCACGCGATCCTACCATCATTACGAAAGCCATCCATCATTTTACCATTTTGTCCACCACAGACAGGAGAAAGGTGAGGACAAATCTGTGACCAACGCTTAAACTGTTCCTCGAATGCCAGGTGATATGTCGTGTTGTTTTCCATCTTGGGGGCAGGCGCCGTATTTCACGAGGTACCAGCTTCTGTAATTCTTCATGGGAATCTGTGTTCGAATCTAAGAATCCCCCTGATTAAGTTTTAGGTTTGTTAGCACCATACCTATGCTCGTGGGTTTCACCTAGGTGGTAAATGTCTGAGACCTGCAACATATCGGGCTTCATCGCGGTGATATAACTGGAATATTGTCAAAAGCGGCGGAAAAACAAACTCACTCACTCACTCGCTTACTCTTACCCCTTTGCTTTGAATGAGCTGATCTCCATAGGAGTCGTTGACGTGCGTCACTCCAAACTTCACCACAATGTCCGAGGGGTCAAGCGGGTTTGTTGTCTGGTCTTCTGTGACGCAGTGAGCGGCAGTGATGACCCACGCGTCTCCGAGGAGGCAGCCACCACAGACGGGACGCCACTCCTTCCTGGAGGTCTTCTTCATGACCACAACGTGCCACGGCCAGTCTTCGCTCTTGGACTCGGTGCCGCCTGAGATGAGGGCAGTGCTACCTTGTGTTGGTTTGCCGCACTCTGACAGAGAATTGATGATTGTGCAAATTACCCTATTAGTCATTGATTGTGTGTTGTGTATGGAACGTGCGCGCGTGCGCGTGTGCGTGTGTGTGTGGGGTGGGTGGGGGGGTGGGGTGTTTGGGGCGAGGGGGGATGGTGGACTTGGATATTATCTCGAAAACAGTTAGTTGTCCCCGAAATTTCCTAAAAAATAAGATATATAACTTCATATTGTGGGAAAATATTTAAAAATTATAAAAGAAATCATGAAATTGTCGGTCGCTCCTATCAGGAAATCCCAAAAGGCGGCTCTGGCGAATTTTCATTTACGCTGGTATAAAGTCATTATTACAGCTAAACAAATATATGCCAATATAGCGGTTGGTAATAAACTATCTTTCTGTTTACCTACCTCGCTGACATAAAGGGATCATGCTAGAAACAAAATGTCTGGAGGTGCCATTTCCAAATAATAATATTTTTTTTACAGCGGACCCTCTTACCCGGAATACAGTGCGGAAGACTCGCCGTCCAAGTACCGTCCTCCTGACAACGTCTAAACTTCGGCCCAATCATGTTGTAAGCTTGATTACACTTGTAGTAGACGCGCGCGCCCTCGCCGTAGTTGCCCTCAGGGAGGAACACAGTCTCGTTCCCAACTCTCACGTGAGATGATGACGGGCACGTGGAGTTGCGAGACCCCGGGTTACTGAAGAATAAAACAAGTTAACATAGATTATAAGTGCTCCCGTTCGAATTTGAAACACTGATCGACCCTGGAGAAGTCGCGTTGACCAACGTATGACCCAGGTTAACTGTGGTTCACCAATGTTAGCACATGTTGACTGATTTACCAAAGTCTCCTTTGTCTATTTAACACCTGGTTAGCTACCTCCCTCTGATGTCATCGGTAAAGATAACAACTTTCATTCTATTGATTCAGTCATGAATTAAAGCATTTGGTGAACTAACCATGTATTGAAAGTATAATTTATATACAAGCGGGAAAACGTTCCTGTGCATCAATGACTGTCAAGGGAAATAAAAACATATACGCAAACATGAGAACGATTTTGCAACAGAACAATATATTGTCCATGAAACGTGAATTCATCACGACAGTTTCAACACATGTTCTCTGTAAACGTCTTCTCAGGCTGAAAATGGCGTGGGTTCAACTGGCAGTTTCACAAGTCAAAATCGGGTACGAGAGTCAATATCGGATTGGTCGTATGTCCAACGTTCGCAGCGACACAAGCTTGACAACGGCGCTTCATTGACGACACAAGATGGTTGGGGAAGGCTTGTGGGATGTCATTCAAGATCTGGACCAAGGCCAGTCGTTGCTGGACCAACGTCACCAGTTGAAGTGAAAGTCTGCGTAAACGACGTTTCGCGGTGTAGGTCAGGGCGGATAACTTCCTCGCGGTACAGTACACCTGCCAAATTGCCATCGATGACCACTTTATTGGTTCTATGATGTCCAGTGATGCCTCCTTACACTATTACGCTCCCACCACCGAAAGCAGAACGTTGAACAACACACGCGTCGGCGTAACATTCCACCCGACTGTGATATACAAGCCGACGGTCATCAGTGCTGTCAAGATGAAACCTGGGCTCATCTCTGAAGAGGACTCATCTCCAGTCCTGTAACCTCAACCTCACACGTTGTCTTGACCATGCCAGGCGTGCAGTTCAATGACGTGGCAACAAAATTTGATGTGCAGCTGGACATCGTGGTCGGACGTTATGCGCTCGAAACGAATCCATACAGTCGTTGCAGTTATCGGACGTAAGCCAAGGATGCTGCAGGCTGTCAATGTTGCAGTCTTTACTCGATTTGCTGGTGGACCAGGCGGATATGATTATCTTGCTGACGTTACTCGTGAACGTCTAGGGCGTGGTCGGTCCCTGGCAGTCACCTCAGAGCTACTGTATGATGTTACGATGAATACCAGAATGCCTTGCAAAACGTTTTGTGCAATTCCGGTTCCAAGCATTCCAGTTGCACGCAACCTCTCATTTTCAGAGAGACGTGGCATAGCGTTTACGAGGTTTGACCGTCAAGAAAGTTGCTTTTCACAGTTAAAACACTTTAACGATTTACTCTGTGTTTGAATTGACTCGGTCCCACGTCTACTGTGAATGTGGGACGAAATTCTAACCCTCGGCTCGTAGGAGTTTATGCATGCAATGAGTGAGTATGGTTTTACGCGACTTTTAGCAATATTCCAGCAATATCACGGCGGGGGACACCAGAAATGGGCTTCACGCATTGTAGTCATATGGGGAATCGAACCCGGGTCTCGTCGTGACAAGCGAACACTCTACCCACTAGTCTACCCCACCGCCCTGCTTACAGTGAACGGGAGGGACGTGCAATTGAAAGTTCCATGGCAATTTTATTTTAATGTGACTTTGTATGGTGCACAGGGACACCTATAGTTAACTTCCGATTTTTTATATAAATACTGTTTAATGCATACGTTAAAAGGGCACGTAAAGTCTGGTCCAGACTCGATCATTTACAGACCGCCGTCATATAGCTGGAATTTTGCTGAGTGCGGCGTAAAACAACCAACCAACCAACAAACCCACTCATTAATATACGTTTAAACTGTTTAACTCAGTACAGTGTATTTGAACAGAGTTCACCAATTAGTTGTGTCATATTTTGTGAGATATTTACCATTTACTTGCTTTTGTTTTTCGTTTGGGGAGGGGGTCGATTTTGCCTCTCGTTTTTTCATGACATCATGAGCTTCGATCTACGCAATTGGGATACGATGACATGCATCAACCAAGTCAGCGAGCTTGACACCCGATCCCGTTAGTCCCCTCTTCCGAAAAGCATGGGTTGCTAAAGATCAATCCTAATCCGGATCTAAATGGACTGGGTGGTGAGGCAGTCTATTGGTTAAAGCGTGAGCCACACAAAAGACCAAGGTTGGTTCAGTTCCCAATATAGGTCTCCCCGCCTTGGTCTAGCTTGGCTAAAACCCGCCTCACTCACTCTTTTAAGCCGCAATGCCTATATGATAATTGCTAATTTGAAAAAAAAGTAAATAAGAAAAACGGTGCATAAACACCTACGAATAAATTTAAAATTATCTGAAATTGGGACTAGTTTAAACTGGCTGCACCATTTTCAGTGCTGTTTAAAATGTGAACATACCCTATGCACTTAATAACCCTGACTCTCTATGAAAGGCGATCATATTGACATAATAATGAGGACTTACCATCCGTTTCCAAAACAGCGTATCCCTTTCTTTGGTGTCCCTGGGTTCGGACAGGTTACCACTGAATAAAGGTAACACAAATGTACACATTCTCATACTGCTGAGTTTCTTGTTGAACGCAGCATTCAACGATATTACAGCTATATGATGTGGGCCAGATAAAAGATCCACGCCGTCGGGGTAGGCGGACACACGTTCAACCAAGTCACCGAGCTTGACCACCCGATCCATATTGTCGCCTCTTACGACCATCACACGTTCCTGGGGACATACCATCATACGTTCCTGGAGACAGACCATCATACGTTCGTGGGGACATACCAGCATAAATTCCTGGGGACATACCATCATACGTTCCTGGGGACATACTATCATACGTTCCTGGGGACATACCATCGATATCATACGTTCCTGGGGACATACCATCATACGTTCCTAGGGACATACCATCATACGTTCCTGGGGACATACTATCACATGTTCCTCGGGACATACCATCATGCGTTCTTGGGGACATACCATCATACGTTCCTGGGGACATACCATCATACGTTCCTAAGGGCATACCATCAAACGATCCTGGGGACATACTATCATACGTTCCTGGGGACAAACTATCATACGTTCCTGGGGACATATCATCATACGTTCCTGGGCACATACCATCTTACGTTCCTGGGGACAGGCCATCATACGTTCCTGGGGACATACTATCATACGTTCCTGGGGACTACCATCATACGTTCCTAGGGACATACCATCATACGTTCCTGGGGACATACTATCACATGTTCCTCGGGACATACCATCATACGTTCCTGGGGACATACCATCATACGTTCCTGGGGACAGGCAATCATACGTGCCTGGGGACATACTATCATACGTTCCTGGGGACATACCATCATACGTTCCTGGGGACAGGCAATCACACGTTCCTGGGGACATACCACCATACGTTCCTGGGGACAAACTATCATATGTTCCTGGGGACATACCATCACACGTTCCTGGGGACATACTATCATACGTTCCTGGGGACATACCATCACACGTTCCTGGGGACAGGCCATCACACATTCCTGGGGACATACTATCATATGTTCCTGGGGACATACCATCACACGTTCCTGGGGACAGGCCATCACACGTTCCTGGGGACATACCATCATACGTTCCTGGGGACAGGCAATCACACGTTCCTGGGGACATACCACCATACGTTCCTGGGGACATACTATCATATGTTCCTGGGGACATACCATCACACGTTCCTGGGGACAGGCCATCACACGTTCCTGGGGACATACTATCATACGTTCCTGGGGACATACCATCACACGTTCCTGGGGACAGGCCATCACACGCTCCTGGGGACATACTATCATATGTTCCTGGGGACATACCATCACACGTTCCTGGGGACAGGCCATCACACGTTCCTTGGGACATACCATCATACGTTCCTGGGGACAGGCAATCACACGTTCCTGGGGACATACCACCATACGTTCCTGGGGACATACTATCATATGTTCCTGGGGACATACCATCACACGTTCCTGGGGACAGGCCATCACACGTTCCTGGGGACATACTATCACACGTTCCTGGGGACATACCACCATACGTTCCTGGGGACATACTATCATATGTTCCTGGGGACATACTATCATACGTTCCTGGGGACATACTATCATATGTTCCTGGGGACATACCATCACACGTTCCTGGGGACATACCACCATACGTTCCTGGGGACATACTATCATATGTTCCTGGGGACAGGCCATCACACGTTCCTGGGGACAGGCCATCACACGTTCCTGGGGACAGGCCATCACACGTTCCTGGGGACAGGCCATCACACGTTCCTGGGGACATACCATCATAGTTCCCCGGGACATTCTGTCCCGAATCCCCAGTGGGGAGGCTGGGATCTGACGTTGATGCTCATTGTGTATGAAACTTTTATTTATGCTCAAGTCAAGATGTTATTTTTTGTTTGATTTACCTGAGACGCATTGAGGCTGGACCGGCGGATACCAGGCCCCGTCGATGTGGCAGTAACGCTCAGGTATGTTGGGGTGAAGAACGAACCCCACGTCACACTCATAAATGACCCTGTGGGAGATAGGTAGCAGAGCATATAGACGACAGGTGCACATACATCTGATTGGCCATTAACGCTCGAATATAAGTAGAGAATGCGATACCAATCGCTGTTGACCAATGCGTCAGACACCTTCTGGTTGGCGTCAGCTACATGGATTGGAAGTGGCAATGGTCAAGGTTAAGGAATCTCAGAATATTCTCCTCATACACCCGCCGTAAATTCTATTTTGATGATTGCAAAAAAAACAAAAAAACCATTTGAACATGCATTTACAACGTATAACGTTAACCGTTTGTTTGCTACACTTTGCAATAGAAACCTACCCTGGTACCTCCAACAGCGTCAGGATGAAAGTACATTAATGTCAAATCGTGGCAAAATACCTGAATAAACTTGTCAAACTAGAAAAATAGAGAAAGAAAAAACTCGGCAAAGTGAAGTAACTGTTGTGAATATATAAGCAAACTCGGAGACGACACTTGTACTTCTTGTGGAGAACGCGGGATTCCAGTTTATAGCTCACCTGATAATAAACACATACAAATTCTGTCTTTAAATGCGACGACTACAGAGGAAATTTAGTCGAAATCCTCATAACGAACTACGGTTATAACGAACTAAAATTTGTGGTCCCTCTGAGTTCGTTATAACCGTAGTTTACTGTACTTTGCAAGGAAAACGGGCATCGTACTCACAATTCCCGTGATATACACACGTACTTGTGAGTAACGCGGGCCTCTAGTTCATAGCTCACCTGATGCCGGGTACGTTCTTGTTAGTGGGGGACTCAGGGCCCTGGGTCAGCGATCCGTGAACAAGCTCGGTCAGCGGAGGACACGTGACTTTGGGTTCTTGTTCCACCTCCTTACACCTGTGGAGCGACACATGGTTATTATGGAGCGATGCAAATGTTGGCGAATTCATGCAGGTTTATTCCATGACGACATACAAACGCTTGTAACAATCCCGCTGTGGAACTGTGATCAACAGCAAAAAGACGGCACGTAGAAGGAGACACAATGGCCCATGCAGAGTGAGTGAGTGAGTGCTGTTTCACGCCACTTTTCAATCCAGTGACTGACATCATGAGCATCGATCCACGCAATTGGGATACGATGACATGCATCAACCAAGTATGCGAGCATGACCACCCGATCCCGTTAGTCGCCTCTTAAGACAAGCATAGTCGCCTGTTACGACAAGCATGGGTTGCTGAAGACCTATCCTAACCCGGATCTTCACGGGTACCATGTTTGTATTAAGAACTGGCTTGGTGAGTGAGTCAGCTTTTATGTCGTTTCTAGCAATATTACAGCAACAGCAGGGAGGTCAAGACCAGAATTGGGCTTCATATCAGGAGGGGAATCGAACCCGTACCTTTTTCAGGAAGAGCAAATGCTTTAACCATTAAGCTACCCCACCGTCCCCGGACTGAAAGGATAACCGTTGGTGGAAAATATCAACGGTTTAGAGTCACATATGCTGTTTGCGATATTTGGAACATGTTACCTGGGCGTCCAGTGGTTCCACTCTCCATCTTCTCCGCAGACCAGCGAGTACTGGCCGTCCAACACATAGCCCTGGTTACACTCGTATATCACTTCCGTCCCCTCGTAGTACCTGTCGTCACGCACCTCCTCGAACGTCTGGTGGATCCCATTCGCCACAATACTGGGAGGTGAGCAGGTTTTGCGCTTTTCTGAAACACGACATGCCAACATCTATAACGTACATCGTTGTGGAGAGCGAGTGAGGTTTTAGCAATAGTCCAGTATATCATGGTGGGCTATAACGCCGGAGAGCGAGTGAGGTTTTAGCAATAGTCCAGTATATCAAGGCGGGCGATAACGCCGGAGAGTGAGTGAGGTTTTAGCAATAGTCCAGTATATCAAGGCGGGCGATAACGCCGGAGAGCAAGTGAGGTTTTTGTAATAGTCCAGTATATCAAGGCAAGCGATAACGCCGGAGAGTGAGTGAGGTTTCAGTAATAGTCCAGTATATCAAAGCAAGCGATAACACCGGAGAGTGAGTGAGGTTTTAGCCATAGTCCAGTATATCAAGGCAAGCGATAACGCCGGAGAGTGAGTGAGGTTTTTGCAATAGTCCAGTATATCAAGTCAAGCGATAACGCCGGAGAGTGAGTGAGGTTTTAGCAATAGTCCAGTATATCAAGGCGGGCGATAACGCCGGAGAGTGAGTGAGGTTTTAGCAATAGTCCAGCCTATGACGGCGAGCGAAACATCTGCAGAGTGAGTAAGGCTTTAGTAGCAGCAAGCGATACCGATGGAGGATGGGAGGTTTTAGCAGTAGTTCAGTGTATAACAGCAAGCGAATGAGATTTCAGCAACATCCAGCATATCATTGCGAGTGACACTGTGAATGCGTTCTTGTAAGGAATGTAGCCAAGGTTTTTGGTATGACCAGGTGGTGACTTAAAAGGTCACCAAAATGATGCCCCCTTCCATTGGGATCGATTAAGAAAAGTATAATGTATTGAGGAAAAATCATATTTTGGGTGACCGGTAATATCTGAAGAATCAAACCTAATAAAATGACATCTTGAAGAAAAATCAAAATAATTTGTTTAAATTAATTCAGCTGTATAATGTATGCTTACTCCATCTTCTTGTGGAAACCATGGACTATACATACCACACTTGGGCACCGAGGACCACATGCCGTCAAGTTTGCAGTAGATGGAGCGTGCGCCAACCACTCTGTAGCCGTCGTCACACTTCACCTTCACCTTGGCCAGCGCAGTGAAGGGAGCTGAAGACAAAAGGCACATGAATTATGTCTTACTTTCAGTGCTGGATAGTCGTTTTAGATGCGACTCCTAACTATGCCAGCATCCACTGGTCCCAGGTTCTAATCCCAGGGTCTCCTCAGACGTGGTGTGCTGGTGGGTTCGATCAAAGCGGTAAATGACACACTGACACGCAAGCACGCCAAGAAAATTTACACAGTGTACTGAGGTCAGTAACTGAACACCGTCTGCTGTGTGACAAAAAGCTTTGGGTAAGGTGATTCGACTCAGAGTATATTTGTGTCTATGCTTTTTTAACCGGTAACAGTTATCCCTAACGACGTACTGCAAAATATCTCTGGGTCGTCAAAACATCTCACCTTCATCCTGGTCCAGTCTGTCCCTGACAAAGTACATGTGGTCACTTGCATTGGGGTTCTTGCAGATTGCTTCTGCAATGATATGAGAAATTCACATGGTGACTGGCCATTGGTCGTTTAAATATGTAGGTAGCTTACAGCTGCTTATGTATCACGAGTCCGTCATGACGTGTGTAGCCTACCACAGAGTCCGTCATGACGTGTGTAGCCTACCACACAGTCCGTCATGACGTGTGTAGCCTACCGCAGAGTCCGTCATGACGTGTGTAGCCTACCACAGAGTCCGTCGTGACGTATGTAGCCTACCGCAGAGTCCGTCATGACGTGTGTAGCCTACCACAGAGTCCGTCGTGACGTGTGTTACATGTGTAGCCTACCACAGAGTCCGTCGTGACGTGTGTGACGTATGTAGCCTACCACAGAGTCCGTCGTGACGTGTGTGACGTATGTAGCCTACCACAGAGTCCGTCGTGACGTGTGTAGCCTACCACAGAGTCCGTCATGACCTGTGTGACGTATGTAGCCTACCACACTGTCCGTCATGACTTGTGTGACGTATGTAGCCTACCACACTGTCCGTCATGACTTGTGTGACGTATGTAGCCTACCACACTGTCCGTCATGACTTGTGTGACGTATGTAGCCTACCACAGTGTCCGTCGTGACGTGTGGGGCGTATGGTACCTACCGAAGAGTCCGTCACGACGTGTTTGATCTATGTAGCTACCGAAGAGTCCGTCATGGCGTGTGTGACGTATGTAGCCTACAACATAGTCCGTCATATGACGTATGTGTGACGTATGGTACCTACCACAATATGGAGACTCCGATGACCATGTGCCATTTGGTCTACACTGCAGGATATGCTGACCTACTAGGCTGTAACCATGGGAACAGGTGTACGTTGCTGTCATCCCCGACACCTCAACATCACCGTGAGCGGGCTTCGTGACGATACGACATTCCGTACCTGTAGGGAAATGGATAGGTTTTAGCCATGGCAACTGATATTCCAAAGGGTGTACGGATGTCACGTGAGTGATTTAGGTAGGGAACATGGTCACGCAATTCAGGGCAACCTGACAATATTTGAAAGGGGATACGTGTGACGGGCTGCACGGTGCTTTTTCCTACAAGGCCTTTGTCTGCAGGGAATATAGTGTCATGAGAGTTTGTCGACAACACGACACGCTGTAGATGAAGGCAGAATAGGCATATCATGAGATTGTTTGGACAAAACGACGCACTTTAGACGAAGACATGACAGATCACCTTTAAATTAACTAGGGCATAGGCTTCCATTATACAGCAGATGACATTGCGACACGGTTTGACATAATAAAGTAAAGAACAGTACCTGTTTGACATCGATCCCCAGTGAAACCGTCAGGACATTGGCACCGGCGGTCGATACAGGTACCTCCGTTGAAGCACAGCGAACTGCAGTCTGGAGGCACAAAGCAGGGAGAATCACATCAATACTTACACACTGCACGTGTGTGTGAATGATCAATGATGGCATAATTGCATTTACAGTGTCATTATTGTTTTTGTTTTTTTAACTTTACGTTTCATTTTCACGAATATGTCTATAACAGTGTACAGGTGTACTTTTTATATCCGACCCGTGAAGATTCCGGGGTAGAATAGGTCTTCAGAAACCCATGCTTGCCGTAAAAGGTGACTATGCTTGTCGTAAAAGGCGACTAACGGGATCGGGTGGTCAGGCTGGCTGAATTGGTTGATGCATGTCATCAATCCCAATTGCGTGGATCGATGATCATGATATTAATTTCTGGATTGTCTGGTCCAGACTCGATTATTTACAGACCGCCGTCATATAGCTGGAATATTGCTGAGTGCGGCGTTAAACAACAAACCAACCAACCAACCAACCAACTTTTTATATCCACGTTTAGGGGTGAGTAAGTGAGCGAATATACCACTTTTATCATACCGGCCTGTAAATAAAGACAGGCAACGAATGGTTGACTGTATGAGCAACGATCCACGGTGCACGATGACACACAATCAGGCAGGTCACGCTGACACAATCAGGTAGGTCACGCTGACACAATCAGGCAGGTCACGCTGACACAATCAGGCAGGTCACACTGACACAATCAGGTCACGCTGACACAATCAGGCAAGTCACGCTGACATAATGTAACCATCCAATTCACATCACTCGGCTCCTGCATCAAGCAGTGGCACATGGGCACCCAAGCAGCTTCACAACGAGTGCTCTCCCGTTCATATGCACCTTCATACATATGTGTGTAAAAAGACCGCCTCCGTGGTCTAGTGGTAGAGCGTCCGCCCGGAGAGCGGAAGGTCCAGGGTTCGATCCCGGGCCGCGTCATACAAAAAGACGTTAAAAGATTGTACTTGTTGTTACCCTGTCTGGCGCTCGGCATTAAGGGGCTAAAACAAGGACTGGTCGGCTCGGAGTCAGTATACTGTGTCTGAGTGGGGTATTCATGTTAAACTGCGGCATGGTATCTCAGTGAGCTAGCACTATACATCGGCATCAGTCCGGACTAGTACAAGCAGCCACACACACACATACACGTGCATGCACGTCGCTATATAAGTGCAATAATCTTGGACGCGACGTGATTTTTCTTAAAAATATATCTAACTGTGTAGCTGTAGCTGACAAAAATACTTAATCTCAATACTAAAATCCTAGCACCACCATCTACCACCACCCACCCCAACCCACTCAGGTGTGTATAGTTGCACCCGGAGCTCATTTGCAACATGTCTGGAGCAGGTGTCCATGCACATTTAAACGAGTGCACATGTGCAGTCTATGTATGTTGTCACGTGAACGTTTATGCCAACGCCAGGGGATGATCTATATAACAGATCTGTTCATTTTCCAACACCAAACAAATTGGCAACAGTTCTGTATCCTGAAGTTGACGCCGTTCAGTACAGAGCAATACAAACTTTAACACCAAGGTATGGAGGGACAATGTTTTCTTTGGGTTTCAAGGAGTCAAAACGTTGGGTATATATTAAATCAAACACATGTTGGTTCATTCGAAGATTTTAGTAGAGTGACTCTCTTCTCATTCGACTTTGATTGGAAAACAACCTTGACGTGAACCGACTGATAAAAATATGTGCTTTACACCATGTACATACACCATTTACACACCTGAGTGAATGTCCAGGTGAACGTATAGTGCATTTACATGTACACACGTATGTATAGTTGCACATGTGCACAAATACACACGTGAGTAATTGTTGTGCATGTGAACGGGGTATTAGACACTTTAAGTGAAAACCATGTCTCTCATTAAACAATGTTACAGGGAAATGCCACAGCTCTCTCTAGTAACAGTTTTGAACAGCCACACCCACCTTTAGTGCATCGACGGCCATATTTGTTTGGGGGGCAGGTGCCACACCCCTCACTGTTGCACGTGGAGCAATGACGATACCGAGGGCACAGGAGCCGCTTCAGTTTCCGGCGGTGCGTGCAGTAGTCACAGTAGGAGTTGAATCCATCAAACAGGCTACACCTGAGTCGAAAATACATCATCATTATCATCATCAGCAGCAGCAGCAGCAGCATCGTCGTCATCATCATAATCTTCATATTCACCATGATGACCATCATCGCCATCGTCAGCATCATGATCATCATCAACCACAACATCATCACCATCAGCAGCATTATCATCAACATCATCATCGTCATCATCATCAACAACATCATCGTCATCATCATGATCATCATCAACATCATCATCATTGTTAAGAGCGATAGTTACAGACAGCATCTGTGAGTGGCATGAAGAAGCTGCTGCATCAATGAAGACAGGATTGACTTACGGATTCCAACTTGTTTACTGTTTCAATGCCACGCGTGGGTACAGGTGCTAGAAGAACATATATCATGCAAGTAATCAACAGCTGCGTACGACATAGATGTACAGTAGGAAGCCATGTCGACCCTGTTTTCACTGATGCTTGCAGGCGGACTAGAGGAGCATACCAATGTTATTCTTTACAGCATTAGATATTATCATTACAGACGTTTCTGCAATTGTTGGATATTTACAGCTGTAGTAATTACGAAAGGACATTTCTTCAAGCCGAGAAGTTGTAAAAAGTGGTAATTATCTCCAAGTGCTTATGCATTGTCTTTGCCCATGCGAAGTGGCTGACCCCCAGAGATCCGAAGATCCGAAGATCCGAACCTAGTTTGTCATGTACGCAAGTTCTGTAGTTACGAAGTAGACAAAATACCAACCACTGGTTTGTCTAGTCCGGATTCGACCGGATACCGTTATAGGCGTATTGATATCTGATGGTTACCGATCAGAGAAGATTGACGTCTGACCATGGATAAGTATTTGAGACATAAAATCACTTCAACGTCTTAAAATGTCTGATGAAATTAGCCATACCTTCTGACTGGTATCCTGATTCTCTCCCTTTGTTGACCACACTTGCAAGTCACGTGCCCACCCGAGCATTTCTCCGCGCCAGAGGGAAATGCTAAGGCGGAAGCGTTGACGACACAAGATAGTCCCAACAAGCAGATGCAACCGGAGACCGGGACTGTGGACGACAGAGAGGTCACTCACATATACACGTCACATGGTAAACAACACGCAGTATCTCAGTAGGGGGAGAAGGAGACGGTCTTGGTGGTTGAACGCCGCTTTGAACAGTATTTCAGTTACATCAGGGCGTGTCAGCTATGTGGGAGGAAAGCCCGAAGGGACGCATGCCTTTGACGTTTACCTCTTTGGTGAAACCCACGAGCACGGGTATGGTGCTGACAAACCTAGAAACATAATCGGGGCGAACCGGGATTCGAACCCACAATCATAGGTTTCTGGTGTGCCCAAGGGACGCAACTCAGCACAGCGAATCGCGACGCCTTAGACGAACCCACGATTGTAGGTTTGTGGCACGTCAAAACTGATGCAGTTCTGCACACTGCGGTTCAGACGACTTGGTCACTGTGCCCCTAGGAGATGAAGAGATTAGCAATGAAGCATCAACATAAAAATACATGCAGTATTACTTTCATGTGTCAACTAGCACATTGCCCTGGATTTGCAGCCTGAATGAATGCATGAGAACCCATCTCTTCATATTTACCCGGGATGAATACATGAAAACCCATCTCTTCAGATTTGCCCTAAATGAATACATGAGAACCCATCTCTTCTTATACCCTGAATAAATACATGAGAACCCATCTATTCATATTTATATTGAATGATTAGATGAGAGCCCATCTCTTCATATTTACCCTAAATGAATCATGACAACCCATCTCTTCATATTTATATTGAAGGATTAGATGAGAACCCATCTCTTCATATTTGCCCTAAATGAATACATGAGAACCCATCTCTTCATATTTGCCTTGAATGAATACATGAGAACCCATCTCTTCATATAAACCCTGAATGATTACATGAGAACCCATCTATTTAAATGTACCCTGAATAATTACATGAGAACTCATCTCTTCATATTGACCTTGAATGAATACATGAGAAACCATCTCTTCATATTTGCCCTGAATGATTACATGAGAACCAATCTCTTCATATTGACTTTGAATGAATACATGAGAACCCATCTCTTCATATTGACCCCTAATAAATACATGAGAACCCATCTCTTCATACTGACCCTGAATGAATACATGAGAACCCATCTCTTCATACTGACCCTGAATGATTACATGAGAACCCATCTCTTCATACTGACCCTGAATGAATACATGAGAACCCATCTCTTCATATTTACCCTGAATGAATACATGAGAACCCATCTCTTCATATTTACCCTGAATAAATACATGTACCATATGTGAATTCCATTAAACCCATCTGTGCATAATAAACCCTCCGTCAACCACTGTGTGCATATTTACCTGTGTGTGAATCCACTTTAACCGATCTAGGCGTTTTCAAACCTGAGTAAATTCGCTTAAACCAACATATGCATTGTTAACCCTGTGTGAATTCACTTAAAACAATCTATGCATATTTAACTTGGTGTGAAATTTTCAATACATTCCTGTGAATACACAGAAACTCATCTATGTACATATCAATGTCTGAATACAAAGAAATCAATCTATGCACATATCCCCGTGTGAATACACAGGAATCCATTTATGCACATATCCCTGTGTGAATACACAGGAATCCATCTCTGCACATATCCGTGTGTGAATACACAGGAATCCATCTATGCACATATCCCCGTGTGAATACACAGGAATCCATTTATGCACATATCCCTGTGTGAATACACAGGAATCCATCTCTGCACATATCCGTGTGTGAATACACAGGAATCCATCTATGTACACATCCCTGTGTGAATACACAGGAATCCATCTATGCACATATCCCCGTGTGAATACACAGGAATCCATCTTTGCACATATCCCTGTGTGAATACACAGGAATCCATCTTTGCACATATCCCTGTGTGAATACACAGGAATCCATTTATGCACATATCCCTGTGTGAATACACAGGAATCCATATAAGCACATATCCGTGTGTGAATACACAGGAATCCATCTATGCACATTTCCCAGTGTGAATACAGAGGAATTCATCTTTGCACATATCCTTATGTGAATACACAGGAATCCATCTTTGCACATATCCCTATATTCTCTGCATATTCACCTTTGTATGGATACATTCAAACCTTTCCATGCATAATTACCTGACGGGTTTTTTATACACGCAACATCCTTCTAAGCGTCGTATAGACCCTTGTGAACCCATTTCAATATATTTGTTTACATATACCTGCAAGCAAAGACTCCTTACAGGACTGGCATAAGGTAATAATGATATGATAAGGTAACACAGGAATACCATCCTACCAAACATGGGTAGATACCTCATCCAGGCCTACACGAATCACTACATATTCACTTCGTCACCCCGCATGAATCACATAATCACACCTGTGTATACACAGCCCTTCATACACTCGACGCAACACAGTATATGTATCAGCAATTGCAGGCATATGATTGACCAAACATCTGTAGATGGAAGTGTTGATGAGTACTTACAGAGCATGTTTAGGACACCAGGAAACCAGGAGTTGCTGTCACCCGACAGCCCGTGATCAGCTCCCTCGCCTGGGACGTAGCAGAGTGAAACGGAAAGGAGGAAGTAGACAGGAGTCTCCCTATATTGTGGTGAGATCAATAGCTCCGAACCTGCCGGGTCCTATCTATAGGCTGCTTTGTATGGTAACTCACACACCGGAAACAGGTTTCATTATTAGGAGGGTCATGAATGTATTTTCCGGCCTTTTCAAAACGAGTTTTAAAACCGGTAAAGTTTTTTTGTAACTTTAAAAAAAATTAAATACACAATATTAAAATGATGGTATATCTTTATTTAACACAGTGCATACATGTAAACGAAGTCCTGTTAGTGGGCAGGTTTAATCGCGGGGAGGTACTTGTATTATTGTACTCTCTTGACAAATCGTCATCAAACGAAACAAGCATAAATGTGTCAGTGCGTAAATATGATTTTTTATGAAAAGAAAATACGAAATACCGGGTTTATCTACTGAGACATCGACGTATTTATTTTTACGATGTTTTGGCTCACCTTAATCAGTAACAATCATAGGTTCCTGGCGTGACCAAGGGACGCAACTCTGCACAGCGAATCGCGGCAGTTTAGACCACTGGGTCACTCGTGCCCCCACTACAAATGACATATTTCAACAACACATAAACAGTTAAAATAAAGATAACGTATAGTTTACTTCAACATACGCATTCGCTCACACACACGTACGCACGCCGTGATATAACTGGAATACTGTTAAATGCGGCGTTATACCCAACTCACTCACTCACTATTACCTTTCCATCACAGACGCACCAGTGATGGCGGATGCTGCTCAAGGGATACAGCTGGAGACTCGCGTGAGATAGACACTTATATCAGCTACTGCCCTACATCGGAGACATCGCAAGTATCTCCACCCTCTGCACTGCTGAGGCGTTCTGTAGTTACCGATATATCAAATGACGTTTATGCTGATGGTACATTGAAATACTAATGAAAGACTCCACAAAATTTAATCTGAATGTAATTCGTCTTATGCCATTAATACTGTTTTGGACGATTTTGATACGATGAATGAAACACCTCCTGTGGCGTTTTGTTTGGATAATGACGATAACTGATGTTACGGAGAACGGTTTTGTCTAACGACAGGAATCCGTCTGTTTCGAGATGAGTAAGTGCCTAAATCTCCAACCATTGATCGGGAATCCTTCGTTATCAGGTCTCTGACCATCGATTAGGAATCCTGTGCATATATATGTCAATCATTGATCAGGAATCTTTCTTGATCATGGTTTCGGATCATCGATCAGGAATCCTTCTGTGCGTAGATGTGTCAACGTCTGGGTTTCGGATCATTGATCAGGAATCCTTCTTGCTCAGGTTTCGGATCATCGATCAGGAATCCTTCTGTGCGTAGATGTGTCCACATCTGGGTTTCGGATCATTGATCAGGAATCCTTCTGGATCAGGTTTCGGATCATCGATCAGGAATCCTTCTGTGCATAGATGTGTCAACGTCTGGGTTTCGGATCATTGATCAAGAATCCTTCTTGATCAGGTTTCGGATCATTGATCAGGAATCCTCCTGTACAGAGGTGTTAACGTCTAAGTCTGGGATCATGGGCCAGGAATCCTTCAGGAGTCTCGGTCTTTTCAAAACCTTATTGTCGAGGGAGATATTTTAGTTGTGTCTGTTATAATCTCAATTTCAAGGACAGGGTTATAGAAGATACCTATGTGTTCAATAGTAAAGACCTAAACAGTAGTACGTTATTCTGGATTGAACATGTTCATATTACTAGAATTGGTGCACAAAGACCTGTGTTTGTCTTGAAATGTGACTTAATGCAATGAGTGTCCAGGCTGTGTGACATGGTAGTTTGTGTGGGACGTTGTTCATAATATCAATCACGGGTATGTTTGCTTCAGATTCGATTTTTGAGGCCGCTCTCATATGATTGGAATACGGCTTTAAACATCGAACAAACAAATAAACGCTGCGTCCAACATGTGAAATATTGTCATCCGTGGTTCGTCCTTTTCTCATTCAAATGAAATGATCTTTTTCAAAATAGCAGTTACTGTTAATGATTTTTCCTATTTAGACTTTACCATATGTTCCCGTGTTTTTTAGGTGAACAATTGACCTGCCTTTGTATGTGTTTGTGACGGGTGCCTCCGGTGGGGCAGGATACGCTCACCTTTTTCGCGAACGGCTGGTATCATCACTTTTTGATAGTGGTTCATAAACACATGCTCATGATGTAGTCGGAATCGTACAATTGTCTTTAACAGAGATCTCTTACGAATAATGGTAAGGGTTTTCTCGCTTTTAATACTATTTATATCTCTCAGTATTAGTGAGTGAGTACGGTTTTACGCCGCTTTTAGCAATATTCTAGCAATATCACGGCGGGGGACACCAGAAATGGGCTTCACACATTGTACCCATGTCGGGAATCGAACCCGGGTCTTCGGCGTGACGAGCGAACGCTTTAACCACTAGGCTTCCCGACCGCCCCTCTCAGTATTAACTATTGTCTTAGTTACATTAAGATCGCTGTAAGCAAGGAGGCGAAGTATCGTGTGTACATCAAACACCCCAATGCACAGTGCCAGACACGATGACATACATTCAATGATAATTCTCAGATTTTACCAGAATCAATAAACTCGCATCCTGTATGTAAGACTATAGGCTGAAGGGGAAACCAAGCGTCGAGAAAAGCTCTTGATAACGACAGTTTGCGAGAACTGGAATTTCCGAGGAATTGACCTGAAGGTTACCTAACCTAAATCAATATGTTTTACAATGCGCACGAGATTGGTGCCACCGTGCTCCGGAGACAATCAATATAACCTGGTGCGCCATGACACACGGACTGACACGCCCTACTCAAGTATACGTCACGTGGTTTGCATCACGTGATTCTCGCCGTCACGTGGCCGGCCCCACCTGACACCACGTGACCTACATTTCCTTAATTCATTCAGGTGCCTGTCCAATTGGAGGCCGTAGAAACTACGCATTATTGCAAGACAAGACCGCTGTGACATTCCTTGTCCTTGGATCTTTATTTAGAGCTGGTTCAAAGAGAGCATTATGGGTGTTAAATATTTTTTCAAGGTTGTTATTTACTACGTATCAGTACAAAAGAGGTCAGCGTGGAAACGAGGTCAATGGAAAACCCTGTTACGTTGTTATTATTGTATTTACATTTCCTTGAATGAACACACACTTTGACAGTCGTAAATTTGCTTTTCTTTATGTTAATAGTTATGCATTTCCTTTCCGTTCACGGGGGTGTGTGAGAGTGAGTGGCTTGGTAAGTGAGTGGGTGGATAGACGGTTTGGGTAAGTGAGTGAGTGTTTTAACGCTGAAGCTGTATGACAGCAATATATCAAGGCACGTGAAACCAAAAAGTAAGGAGCTCGAATACAAGTAATGTGTGTTAATAGCCCACTGGGATCAAATGCAGGAAATATTAGCGGGTATATATGAAGACGACATGTGAAAACCCAAAGCGCACACACGGAGTTTTTATTGGTTTGTCGCAAAGCCCTGGATATGTACTACGCAACGTTCGCGAAGGATCGCCACACAGGTAATACGTCAAATTATGTTCATCTGTTGAAATAGCCAAAGACAATATTCCGTGAAGACATGATTAATGAACAAAAGTGACCAAGCGACATGTGACCGATAATCAGTAGGATCACCCGTCAAAATGACAGTATCTGACCAAAATTGAAACGTGAAAAGATCACGAAAATCAGTTTTGTAAAAAAAACTCTCAGTAGCGCGTTTGTGATCCACGTGATACCATTACAGCCGGCTACCGTCGTCTCATGCTCCCAATAAATGTCTGGGTGGTTGCAAAGGGAAGTTCGTTCCATTCTTCAGTAACAGCATTGCCGAGTTTCTGTAGATTTGCTTCCGGAAGGACATGGCGTCGTGAGAGGGCGATCTGCAGATAGTTTCACATGTGTTTAGTAGGGTTTTAGACTTACGGAGACGATTACGCACTGTCTGAGTAGAAACGTTAACGCCATGTAATTTCTGAGTGTGGTGGCAGTCACAAAGTGATGACTTCTTACTGCAATCATGAAAAACGTGTTTTCACGCTGTGTTGACCCAATATTAAGCATGCCTATGCATCTGCCAAATTTGTCGGTCGTCAAACAACGTCTTTGACGCCGAGGGGCATAAGCGCATTTAGTTGTTGTAATCCTTAGTAGCAAATGATGTTGTGCTCTCTGGAAATGATTTAGAGCACCATGTGCAATAGTTCAATATTTATTTGTTGGATGATTTTTTTAAATCTAAACCTGATCCTTAGCAAACTTTGAGTAGTACATGTATCTACCGATATAAATCATTCACAGTTGGTGAAAAATTTTACGCTTAGCCTATCGACGTACATTTTAACTAGCTAGCCATCTCCCAACATATTGTTATCGTCATCTCACAAATACATATTGTAGCCAAGTTCCACAGGACAGCACGCCTATGCACGCTGTGGCCAAGTTTTAACTTTCAATCGAAATGGTAACGCCCATGTACATTAACGTCAAGTTTAACCTTTGAAACCCAAGAAACCCAACATTACGAATGTGGACATAATGATAATTCAACCTCTGCGCAGATGACAACTAGGACAACCAGAGTTATAACTTGACCCAATAATCGTCCCCTGTGTGCAGCCTTAGACCCTGTCTAGCTAATTCTGTAACCGTTGATCTGAAATAAACCCAAGTACTCAAAGTAGGTTCCTGTTGGAGGACAGTCATTTTATTTAAAGGGGAGCTTGCAGTTAAGAGGACAGTGCAGCTGAAGTTTAAGCTCACCTGAACGATATATGTTGTTTATGTTTTATATACCATCTGTATATATATATATATACCTACTGAGTAGTCTTGTTTGGTTATGGTTTGGGTGACCTAGGCAACAACAACAATGATGATGATAATAATAATAATAATAATAATAACAACAACAACAACAACAACAACAATAATAATAACCCGATCTTGTCTTTTTTGATAAATCTAATGAAATAAATTATATCATTGAATGTCCCTTTTTCTGTCCCTTCTTGTCACTAATGGGATTGACAGGATGTAGGTAAAACATGGCAAATATGCGGACCTTGTTTTCGAAATGTCATCCTTGCATCCCAAGTACCATGTTGTCCGACTCCCCATCGTTCTCGGTGCCTCAGGGCTTTGTATCTCCTAATCTGTTGACTGATATTTGGAGAGCATCCGGGTTTGTTGCCAGGAATACAGCCCTTCTGACAACCTGAATAATGAGGAAGGCTGCAGTGTTTGGGAGACTTCAAAGATACCATGAATAAGACAGGCGTGATGTTAAATATGAACATCATGAATGCGGTATGCCTAATGTTAAATATATACATCACGAATAAGGTATGCCTAATGTTAAATATGAACATAATGAATGCGGTATGCCTAATGTTAAATGTGAACATCATGAATAAGGTATGCCTAATGTTAAATATAAACATCACGAATAAGGTATGCCTAATGTTAAATATGAACATCACGAATAAGGTATGCCTAATGTTAAATATGAACATAATGAATTAGGTATGCCTAACGTTAAATATAAACATCATGAATACGGTATGCCTAACGTTAAATATAAACATCACGAATAAGGTATGCCTAATGTTAAATTTAAACATCACGAATTAGGTATGCCTCATGTTAATATAAACATAATGAATTAGGTATGCCTAATGTTTATTATAAACATCATGAATACGGTATGCCTAATGTTAAATATAAACATCATCAATAAGACAGGTGTGATGTTAATTCAAATTTTTTTTACTCTTAAACCGCAAATAAAAGCGACAAAATCCATGCAAGAAGCAGAGTCCGTTGTTCGATTCCGACTATGTCATAAGCACGTGTAGAGTTACGGTAGAGCACGGCATGCTTACCCTTTTCGCGAACACCTGGTGTCATCACTGATCTATTGTGTAATGTCCACCAATGTTAATATGAATGAATCGTGTTGTCTTTAACTGCTTTTAAGAAGTATATATCTATTTCAATTTTTTACATAGACTCATTCAAATATCATCCGCTACAATACTATGAGTGCGACTTTAAACAACAAACAAACAAACACTTATAGCTCATCAAAGTTGGGCTGCACTCTTCCTGGTTCTGTGGGCCTACACGTACGACGTATATGTCTAACATCAACATACGATCGACATTTGAAGAATCTCGCCATATGGACAATATTGACGCTAAAAGGAAACCTGCACTTTGAGTTGTTGTATTGGATAGATGATGCACTAGAAGCAGGAAGTTCACACGAAGTGTTCCCCAACAGCAAGTGCGTATGTAAGGCTTCTCCTACAAAAACGGAACAAACCCAGTGTGTCTGGAGGATCGCTCTGAAACCAAACTAGTATATCAAACGTTTTCTAGCTGTTACATTTATATTATTATCTTTAGACCTTTTATTGTTGTTGAGAATAGAAACAAACGCACAGGTTTCCGCCTCAGGTTTTTATTGTTATTGTTGTTGTTGTTGTTGTTGTTGTTGTTGTTGTTGTTGCTGTTGTTGCTGCTGCTGCTGCTATTGTTTTTCTGTATTCTGAGTGGAAAAATCGGACACACTCCAGATCGTATTTTTAGTAGTAGTAGTAGTAGTAGTAGTAGTAGTAGTAGTAGTAGTAGTAGTAGTAGCAGTAGTAGTAGTAGTGTTATTAGTATTAGTTGTTGTTGTTGTTGTTGCCGTCATTATAGCTGGAATATTAAGCAACACCATACACCTACACTCTCTCTCTCTCTCTCTCTCTCTCTCTCGCTCTCTCTCTCTCTCTCTCTCTCTCTCTCTCTCTCTTGCTCTCTCTCACTCACTCACTCACACACACACTCACTCACTCGAAAACAAGTTCTTATTTTGATATCATTTATTAACTGTTGTCTATTTAAATGCAACATTAAAAAGGTTATGATTCCTGGAATGTGCCAAATAGTGTGTGAACGCAAGAGTGTCAAAAAGCGAAAAGAATAAATCCACGACAGCTAACCATAAAAATATGGTAAAACATTGTTGATTAAAACAGTTTCATGTGCACGTTTAACACAGGGCGGTACACGACTGTGTAGGGCGTTCAGAGGCGGACGTGTCCTCAAGAGGCGTGTCCACTATATAGTTGTTTCTTCCCCCAAACTGAAACCAGACCAGAATGCAGAACTTTGATCTATAATGATGTCACGTTGGACTCTCACTGAAATGCATTGTTTGACTTTCCTCTGAAAGGATACTGTTACAGCACATACGCCGTAGAATTAAACTCCGCTGTCACGTCCTAGTCATTGTGAAATACGTTCATTCCTCAAGGAATCTGTTTCCTGATGCTGGTATTCCAGCCCCCGTACAATGATGTCTTGGCGTTTCGGGCGGCGCCACGTACCGTGTGAATTGCCATTCCGGTACATCCTATTTAGGTATAGACAACGATCCGGCCGTGTTCACGAACACGCTGTAAGATAAGCTGCTGCAGGTGAGACGATGTAGCAGAAGAATAGCTAGAAAATGAAGAACATCTGCGTTCTCGTGTATCAGTGATTGGTCATTTGTAATTTTGTAAAATATGAAATTCATGGCGACTAAACTCCGATGTTCCGTGTCTATTTCAACACAATTTCACATATTAGATATGAATCATATTTTCGGAAATGAACATTATGACAGTTTATTAAGAGGAAATATTTGAAATAATTCTCTATTCGGTTTTTCATACATGTACAAAATGCAACTGGCAATATTTGCTAAAGGTTTGGTGAAAAAGTTAATTACGCTGTTTCGGTGATAGTATTTGTGTTTATTCGTATATTTATGTTAAATACATTATATCCGATGTGCTAGACATATTTCAAATAATAAGATAAGGTGCAAATATTATTACTTTTAAATGACTTTTTTCTTAAGGTGCAAAATAATTACCAACATCATATGACTCTTACTAAAACACTTCATCGCCATCTAGCATCCTCATCACAACCTACATAATTTAGTAAATCTAGCACACTGAACAATTATAATTGATGAAACTATTTGTTATAGCTGGACAGCTTTATTCAACTTAAACCACGCTTTTCTCAACTCTCTCCCAAGTCAAAAGTTGTGCTGTAATCAACTGATCATTTCAACTTTGACATTTCATTCATGGGCCTAAATATTTCACATACTGGCGCATGCGTGTTTCACGTAACCGGAATGCAGTCATTTCCGATAAGTGGGCAGAGGGGATTTATAAATGGCCAGTTCGCCGCAAAAGCTTGCTATATATTCTTCTTAAATTACCAGGAACCCGCTCCTCATATTCCGAGTCATACCGTGGTGTGCTTTAAGGTCTTGCGTACTCGGCAGTGTGTTGGAATGACACTCTTAATCAATGTTGCGTTTGTGGCTGTAAGTATACTTTGATAATTATCATATTTTACATCACTTGTTGAGTCAACATTTAGTCTCAGGGGGCGTGGATACTGGTATGTTTAACTACAACGTTATGGGTTCTGTAGAGCAGGTTACATTCAAGTGCGTGATAAGTGTTTAAGTGCGTGGTATCCTTTGTTTAAGAGTTTCTACTACACGATCTAATGTAACCGAAGTTTGTTTGCTCATGTGAACAGTGTGTGATTCGCTTGTTTCTCCGAGTGATGTGTGTATGTGTGGTGTCATACATGCGTACATGTAGCTATTCTGAGAAGAGTGACGTTTTAATTACCTAATCATGCACTCTGAATTGTCTCTTATGTGTCTGTCAAATTGTCTCAACAAAGTGCGCACTACTAGAGTCATGTAACGAGCGTTAACCAGAAATGATGTTCCTTGCTTTTAATGTACTTTTGCTTTTAACCAGTACTCTGTGGTTTGTTTATCGTGTGTTTATAGGCATTGATATTGTTTTTCCTCAAACGTCGGGGATGTTCTTTTTTAAACACATACTATGCATACATGATGTGGTTTGGACACAAACAGACTTTGCGGGCGTGACATATCACCCTAGTTTGTTTGTTTGTTTGTTGTTTAACGAAGCACACAGCAATATTCCAACTATATGACGGCGGTCCAGTGATTGACGCCATGAGCATCGATCCTCGCAATTTGGATACGATGACATGCATTACCCAAGTCAGCGAGCCTGACCACCGATCCCGTTAGTCGCCTCCTACGACAAGCATGGGTTGCTGAAGACCTATTCTAACCCGGATCTTCACGGGGCGTATGACCGTAGGGACTATACATGTATGTGAACGATGGTGACAATGACTACGTTTTGTTTCTTGTGTCTTTCAAAAGTTTATTAAATACTGAAATGGGTAATTAAAAGTAGCGTGATGCATGAATTTTAATTTAATGTATTCCCGTTGTTTTGAGGCACAGATATTAAACCATTGAAATAATTTCAAACTCTATTACTATCATTTTAAGACGTTAGGACAAGGGTGTGCCTGTAATCTACGACTCTTCGATTAGCACGCAGAGTCGCGTCCCTTAGGCGTGCCAGGATCTGTAGTTCGTTGTTTCGATTCCAAGATTAGCTCCATTATGATCTTTGGGTTGTCAGCACCCTACCCGTGTTCGTAGGATTCAGTGGCTGAAGCCTATGCCACTCTGGGCCTCATCCTCCAATAATAAGGGGCGGCGGGGTGGCCCCGTAGTTAAAGCGTTCGCTCGCCACACCGAAAGCCCGTGTTCGATTCCCGACATGAGTACAATGTGTGAAGCCCATTTATGGTGTCCCCCACAGTGATATTGCTCTGGAATATTGCTAAGACGGGCGTAAAACTACACTCACTCCAATAAGAACTTGATACGTCGTGAAACAATTTTCACTCACTCACTCTTTTAAGATGTGTACTTGTATCGGCCACTGAAATTAAGAAACATTAAGTAAACATGTTTACCACTCACTCACTCACTCTCTTTTTAATTCGAAATACAAGGGACCTCGGAAGTTTGATATAAAGGTAGTTCGAGAGTGTGTACGGTCAACCACAGTACCGATGCGAAGTCTGCCAGAGACAGACAGTTTCAAAGGCTTACATCACTCGAGTTTATCAAGTTTTCTCTGCACCTGTATTTCATATTATAACGCGTGCACAGACACCTACCTTACCATCAGAAGGAATCTGATATTTTCTTTTTTCTGATGCCATTATTCATTCATAAGCACGTCTGACGCTTGATGTAGAATGTTTACAACCCGCGAGCAGGAAATGCTGGCACGGAGAAAGTGTTTCAGTTGTTTTCTGTTCCGCCCTTGACGGGGCGCGGGGGGGGGGGGGGGGGGGGGGGGGAGGAGGCAGCGCTCTATAGACAGGGTGCACCTGGGCGCCATGTGCCATCAGCTTTGTGTTCCTTGACTGTGTGGGATGTTTTCTCTGCCAAGAGTTCTGACCTCGATATTTGGATTTAACTTATTGAAGTGTTTTAATCGTTAAGTCTACAATATTATGAAAAGGTCAGTTGTGACAAGCACATGCATGTATTTATTTCGTCAAGCACATGCACTAATAATTATGTAGAGGCTGATTTCCGTATGGTTCTGAACATCTAGTCTGACATGAATTTTTTTTAGAAAAAACAGTTGTTAAATTACCTTTATAAAATATGATAAAAAGGAACCCAGAATCTCTCTTCATTTTCATGCTGCAGTAATCTAGACTTGCCCACTATTATAGACTTGCATGGGCTTCATTTGATATATTTGTTTCACGGTCTGTATTCCAAATGCTTAATTATTTGTGGAGATAACGGAACTGTATAACACGCTGGCATTAGCTTCAGCCAATGTGCAATGTGCACACACGCTTCCCTCCCTCTCACTCACACACATCACTCACACACGCCTCTCTCACTCACACACGCCTCCCCCCTCACTCACACACATCACTCTCACACGCCTTTCACACTAACACAAATTACTCACTCACTCACTTTGTCACCTACAGGTCTACTGTGTGCTGTGTGGCGACGCGGGTCCTTCGGCAGTCAGATTGCAGGGTCCAGGGGGAGAGAGGTCCAGAGGTAGGATTTCGTAACATCCCAGGGACTGCCGCATGTTAGTGTTGACATATTCCATTGGCCATAATAGGCAAAACAGTTGTGGAAATAAAACATGTAAAAGGATCACCGAAAATAGGTGATGACACCAGGTGTTCGCGAAAAGGTTGAGCATGTCCTGCTCTCCGGGTAGCTCAGCACGTGCTCATGGTATAGTCGGAATCGTGCAATGGACGAGCTTTCAAATGATTATTAAAATATTTTTTTTGCTTGTATTTACATTTTAAGAGTAACAAGATAGTTCTGGTGTCAGAATTGCAATCTGCGTGATGTTTTTATTTTAGGGGGTTGTTCACTCGTCACGCCGAAAACCCTGGTTCGATTCCCCACATGGATACAATTTGTGAACCCATTTCCGGTGTTCCCCGACGTGCTATTGCTGGAATATTGCTAAAAGCGGCGTAAAACTATACGCACGCACTCACTCACTCTTATGAAATGTAAAACATACCATATTCATGTTGTTCATATATAACGCCTTACCTACATTATTCTAGTCCTGCACCATGACTGTGGAATATATTTATTTTATGGGGGAAAACAATAATCTAGAAACGCATACAAAAGCAAGTCTAGCCAGCTCTGGCTAACTCTATTCCACAGCATAGGGAATTCTTTTTTTAAGAGTCAAGAAGGATATTGTGTAATATAAGATTTCAGAGACTAAAGGTAAGTCTGACATTATTCGTGATATTCAAATTTCAAAGTATGATCGTCTTTTCAGGTTGTGTCCAAGGAGCTGAGGTCATGGGAGGTCAGTATCAACCTTTGAAACTAAACCATTTCCACACTTATTCCACTCCATTTTTGAGCCTTGAAATGGGCTGGCAGATCTCGGTCGTTCATCAAACTATCCGTGTTGAAAGTAGTACACACCTACCACCTGTCACTTGGACTTTCGACAACCCCTTATCGAAATCACTGATATACTGTTGAAAGTGACGTCAGAGACCCGCGTACTATACAATATAAATACGTAATGCAATATAAAGAGTCATGAGTACATACAATTAAACCGTTAGCGTTTTCTGATTTCAGGAGCATTCTCAGATCTCCCCCCTTGTCCACCCTGGGTAGATGACAAAGAAAGGTGCCGCATCGGGGATACCATTCTCAGTCGCAGTCAGTGCCTAGATATCATGACGGAAAAAGAATACCTGGCTCTATCCCGAAGTCAACCAGAGACAATGTCCCTCCCTCCGTCCCCGCCCCGCCCCTTAAACATCATGGTTAGCCCCCCTGGCTGGTCCGGTGGAGGAAGTCCACCTGGGGGGTGGGCCCAGAGCCACCCTCCTAGCCCCCCGGGGTCTCATTTTGGACCCCCAGGGATCAGCTCTGACAATATGATGAAGGACACTGACGTTCTCCCACCAGGACACAAGAACAGCCGCTGGTACAGCCGGAGACACAGCTCCCCGTTGGGCTCTATGCCCGGGTCTGTCCCGTCCCCCCCGGGGGTCCATGTGCCGAGCCAGATGATAAGAGCTTTCCAAAGGAGGAACTGGAGGAGGAGAGCCCCAAAGACCTGGACTAGGAGAAGATCCGGGAACAGGAGAAGTCGCAAACAAAATCGGGAACAGAGGAGCAGTTCTTTGAGGAGGCGGAGCAGGAGGAACAGGAAGTACGGAGGGCTGTCAGCGCCACCAGGAGTACATCAACTCTAAAATCAAGACAAATACAACAAACTTGTACTTTTCATCCATTCATACCCTGACTGATTCCACGTCATGCCTCATAAGGTTCGTGGTCTTTTGAGAGGCAATATGTGAAATTTTTATGGTGTATATTTAAGAAAGTACTGCAATTCTTACTGGGCCTTCACTAATGGCATCCCTGCCTGTGGACGGACAGGCAATCGACAAGAACCAACATTGCGCCTTGTGATGGTAAATGGGAATGTATGGAAGAAACGCAGCGCCACTAGTGTCCTACGACGTAGAGTACAACTGTTTGTGACATATGCGACTGTATATATTACTAGTGATTAGCGAGTTATGGCCTGAGGTAGTTTTGATATAACAGCAAACCAAGCTAATCACCATCTGTACCGTATCACATCTCTACTTTATACGTTGTTCACATTCTACATCATGTCCTGTTATACCTTTCTTGGAACACATAGTGTTGTAACACTTATATGAATTGAAGACTGGTGTTTTAATAAAATTACTTGTACATATTACAAAATATTCTGTTATGCTTCGATGCTGCTCAGTGAACCAGGGATGAATAACTGAACGTACGTCAGGGTCAGGGAACGTACGTCAGGGTCAGGGAACGTACGTCAGGGTCAGGGTGTGAGGTGAGTGAGGTGAAATGGGGTTTAAGCCGCGTCCAAGACTATTGCACTTACATAGCGACGTGCATGCACGTGTGTGTGTGGCTGCTTGCACTAGCCCGGACTGATGCCGATTTATAGCCGATGAGTAAATAGTGGAGTACAGAGTTGAGTACATAGATGAGTAAATAGTTGAGTACATAGTTGAGTACATAGATGAGTAGAGAGTTGAGTACATAGATGAGTAAATAGTTGAGTACATAGTTGAGTACATAGATGAGTAAATAGTGGAGTACAGAGTTGAGTACATAGTTGAGTACATAGATAAGTAAATAGTTGAGTACATTGTGGAGTAACGAGTTGAGTACATAGATAAGTAAATAGTTGAGTACATAGTGGAGTAACGAGTTGAGTACATTGTAAAATGGAGCATCGAATATGCAAACATGTGGGCATTATGCTACATCTAAACCCTCATTTTATGGTCGGCATGTTGACCTGCAGATGTCACCTTGTTGACCAGCGGGTGTCGCCATGTTGATCGGCGGGTGTCACCATGTTGACCTGCGGGTGTCGCCATGTTGACCTGCAGGTGTCGCCATGTTGACCAGCGGTCGTCGCCATGTTGACCTTCGGGTGTCGCCATGTTGACCAGCGGGTGTCACCATGTTGACCAGCGGGTGTCACCATGTTGACCTGCAGGTGTCGCCATGTTGACCTGCAGGTGTCGCCATGTTGAGCTGCAGGTGTCGCCTTGTTGACCTGTTGGTGTCGCCATGATGACCTGCAGGTGTCACCATGTTCACCTGCAGGACTCGGCATCTTGACCAGCGATTGTCACCATGTTGATCTGCAGGTGTCGCCATGTTGACCTGCAGGTGTCGCCATGTTGACCTGCAGGTGTCGGCATGTTCACCAGAAGGTGTTGGCATGTTGACCTGCAGGTGTCGCCTTGTTGACCTGCAGGTGTCGCCATGTTGACCTGCAGGTGTCGGCATGTTCACCAGAAGGTGTCGGCATGTTGACCTGCAGGTGTCGCCTTGTTGACCTGCAGGTGTCACCATGTTGACCTGCAGGTGTAGGCATGTAGACCAGCGAGTGTGACCATGTTGACCTGCAGGTGTCGCAATGTTGACCTTCGGGTGTCGCTATGTTGACCAGCGGGTGTCGCCATGTTGACCTTCGGGTGTCACCATGTTGACCAGCGGGTGTCACCATGTTGACCAGCAGGTGTCACCATGTTGACCTGCAGGTGTCGCCATGTTGACCTGCAGGTGTCTCCATGATGACCTGCAGGTCTCATCATGTTGACCTGCAGGTGTCGCCATGTTGACCTGCAGGTCCAGCGATTGTCACCATGTTGACCTGCAAGTGTCGCCATGTTTACCTGCAGGTGTCGCGATGTTGACCTGCAGGTTTTCACCATGTTGACCTGCAGGTGTCACCATGTTGACCTGCAGGTGTCGCCATGTTGACCAGCGGGTGTCGCCATGTTGACCTTCGGGTGTCACCATGTTGACCAGCGGGTGTCACCCTGTTAACCTGCAGGACTCGGCATCTTGACCAGCGATTGTCACCATGTTGACCTGCAGGTGTCGCCATGTTGACCTGCAGGTGTCGGCATGTTCACCAGAAGGTGTTGGCATGTTAACCAGTGAGTGTCACCATGTTGACCTGCAGGTGTCGCCATGTTGACCTGCAGCTGTCGCTATGTTGACCAGCGGGTGTCGCCATGTTGACCTTCGGGTGTCACCATGTTGACCAGCGGGTGTCACCATGTTGACCAGCAGGTGTCGCCATGTTGACCTGCAGGTGTCGCCATGATGACCTGCAGGTGTCGCCATGTTGACCTGCAGGTGTCGGCACGTTAACCAGCGAGTGTCACCATGTTGACCAGCAGGTGTCGCATTGTTGACCAAACGGGTTTCACCATGTTGACCTGCAGGTGTCGCCATGTTGACCTGCAGGTGTCGCCAGGTTGACGTGCAGGTGTCACCATGTTGACCTGCACGTGTCGCCATGTTAACCTGTAAGTATCGCCTTGATGACCTGAAGGTGTCGCCATTTTGACCTGCAGGTGTCGCCATGTTGACCTGAAGGTGTCGCCATGTTGAACTGTAAGTATCGCCTTGTTGACCTGCAGGTTTCGCCATGTTGACCTGTAAGTATCGACTTGTTGACCTGTAGGTGTCGCCATGTTGACCTGCAGGTGTCGCCATGTAGACCTGCAGGTGTAGCCGTGTTGACCTGCAGGTGTCGCCGTGTTGACCTGCAGGTGTCGCCATGTTGACCTGTAAGTATCGCCTTGTTTACCTGCAGGTGTCGCCATGTTGACCAAAAGGTGTCACCATGTTGACCTGCAGGTGTCGCCATGTTGACCAGCGGGTGTCACAGTGTTGACCAAAAGGTGTCGGCATGTTGACCTGCATGTGTCGCCATGTTGACCAGCGGGAATCGGCATGTTGACCTGCAGGTGTCGTCATGTTGACCAGCGGGTGTCACCATGTTGACCAGGAGGTGTCGCCATGTTATCTAGCAGATGTCGCCATACTAACAAGAAGATGTCGCCATACTAACAAGAAGATGTCGCCATGGTAACCTGAAAATGTCGCAATGCTGGCCTGCTGAAAAATAGCTAACTATTTTCCAACAAAATTGGGAAGAGGTCGACTTCTGACGGTGGCTAATCCATCCGATGAATACTGAGGATGTTCACTGACGAGTAGAATTCCTTTGGAAAACAAGAAAACCAAAGCCATTATGCCGTGAAATTCAAGTCACTCACTCACTCGCGCTGCGAAATAGCTGTTCACGAACCCCCCGCACTGACGGAACCCGGCTTCCTAGTGTTGATAGATGGAGGCCAGTTGTATCTAATTTGGGCCGCTGTCAACATGTGAGTCATTATAAACTTTGAGATTTGAGCGGATATTTATAACTGACCTCTCCATACACAACCAGAAACTACGTCTAACTTCTTTCAGTGGCATTTAGAAGTTGGTGTGATGAAGTAAGACGAGTTCTATGGATGAACAACTTCTTTATTACAATTAGTGCTTGATAAAGGTGTTAGGATCTACACCAAAACGTCGCACTAATTGTAATAAAGAAGTTGTTCATCACTTGCTTGATAAAGGTGTTAGGATCTACACCGAAACGTCTCACTAATTGTAATAAAGAAGTTGTTCATCCATAGAATTCGTCTTACTTCAGGAACTCCGCCGTTATCGTCGTTGATGATGATGAAGCTCTCAACTGTTTGGATACTGTTTGTACATTAAGACATTATCTTCGAAGCTGCAGTAAAATCGTCGGGAGGCCTTGGGACGGCCAGTTATCAATATCGTGTTTACAAAAACCTGCATTAATCAACATAAGCACAATATACCTTGGAGATTTAGATCGAGTGGAAACACAAAGTAAACAACAGGGTACATTATAAGAATATCTTAACCTATCACCAACCGACTTCATCATGTAACTGGGTTCCTGGGTTCATTCAGAGGTGGGGCACGGGTGGCCCAGTCGTCTAAGGCGCCGCGATTCGCTGTGCAGAGTTGCGTCCCTTTGGGAACGCCAGAAACCTATGATTGTGGGTTCGAATCCCGGTTCGCCCCGATAATGTTTCTAGGTTTGTCAGCACCATACCCGTGCTCGTGGGTTTCACCGAAGTGGTGAACGTCTGAGACCTTCATTACTTCGGGCTTTCCTCCCACATTTAACTGACACGCCGTGATATAACTGGAATACTGTTAAAAGCAGCGTTAAACCCAACCAACTCACTCATTCGGAGGTAGAATCTGCAGATGTAACTTGTCACGGATCTAATAGTCTATACTAACACACACGTGGCTCGTCTGAGAGGTTGTTGGTATAGAATATCAGTTACATAGTGCTGTGCTTGTCCTGACGACCAACAACACCACTACAGATTAAATCATAAGGCCACACACATATGCTCTAGTTCTTAGTGTCATTATTTTGTTTACTAAACGGGGCGGTCGGGTAGCCTAGTGGTTAAAGCGTTCGCTCGTCACGCCGAAAAACCCTGGTTCGATTCCCCACATGGATACAATTTGTGAACCCTTTCTGGTGTCCCCCGCCGTGATTTTGCTGGAATATTGCTAAAAACGGCGTTTACTAAACTTGTTAACTTAGTTTGTGGTGGTTTGGAAATCGAAATAAATAATGGAATTAGGAAAGGTGATGAGAGACAAGAATAATTATTATTTATGAGGCCAATCAATGCGTATTGTAGATATTATTTTTTTATCTTTCCAGACTTAAAGATTTGGTTTGGTTTGTAGTTTAACGCCGCACTCAGCAATATTCCAGCTATATGACGGCTTAAAGAGTTTAAAAGTAAGAAGTATATACGTATATATAAGATAGCTACGTGATAAATCACAAAGAACAATGAAGAACGAACAGTGGTTTATTTCACGATAAAACCTTGTTATACCACGACGTCATTTCTGGAGATTTGAACATGCGTTCGCAATTTGATAACGTCATATATTTGATGACGTTATTTTTGAGAGGGGAGTGTTTAGTGAGTTGTTCCCCCAATCTAATTAAAATCAGATCTTAGTTCTCGCTACCGCTAAACAAAGATTTGAGAACATCCCAGTACGGGTCACGTCAGACCGACCTTGCGCGAACTTTGACCGACCAATGGAATGACCAATCAGAAGGCAGCTATCTCGTGCTTTACGGCACTAATTTCAAATTGGCGACTACGCTTCAAAACATATTTTGACAAATTTTCGATTACAAATTTGAAACCTGAACAAAAGAACATTCTGGAATGGCTAATAGATGGTCTAGATTGTATGGATTCAGTCGTTAAACCCGTAACTATCGTTCGGAGTTAAAGTTTCGAGGTTGCATGATTAGAAACCACA